CTCTTCTCCACAGCCCGAGTCCGCACCACTTGAATATCTCCCAGGCACCTGCAATGTCCAAGTCCAAACACCCTTCCACCCCCTCAGCCCGACTGCTCCTTCCCTTATCTGGGGGACCAAGCGCCCCGCCGGCTAGTTTGGTGCAGGGCATGCAGGGGTTTCCCACCACAAGGCCTTTGCATCTCTGCCCCCACTAGCCTGGAATATTGCATGGTGGGCTCCTGCTTATCGTTGAGGTCGTGGCTCAAATGTGTCCCAGGCCACTGCCCCCCACTGCCCTGTGTGATCTCTTCAGAGCACTTATCAGGGTCTGAGTTTATCTTGTGGACTCATGCGTATATGGGCACCTTAGCTTTCACAGTGTGTTGTCAATTTCTTCTTGGGGGGGAATGTAAGTTTCCTGAGAGCAGGGACCATGTCTCCTTTCCATTAGAATGGCACTTAGTGGCACACAGAGGGAACAGGGGTGCCACTGTCAGCGCCCACCCCCCCCCAACCAAGGTCCCTACTTTCTGTCTCAATACCCCTCAAAACCGCCCTCAGTGTTCTGCCCTATTCCAGACCTCAACCTTTCTCTCCTGAATCTCAACACTAGCCTTCTAACTGGACGCTACCAGTTTCAAACCCCGCCATGGCTGCCTACTGCCCCCAGTATACAGCCCCCTACTCGGCTGGGCCCCTGGCACTCATCCCATCCAGCTCCAAGCACTCCCCCACCCACCATGCCTCGTTGAAGGCACACCACGCACATTTGTTACGACGGAAGGACAGCTGCACAGGTACGAGTGGGAGGGAAAAGAGATGTGCAGAGGGTCTGTTAATGCAGGGGGACTGCACAGCGTGAGGCCTGGCTCCGTGGGGAGACTGCTGGCATCATGGCGCCCACTGAGAGGGAGAGGCTAGGCAGCGTGGTGAGAGCTCAGCCGTGGCAGTCAAGACAGACTGGAATCGAGCTCAGGGCTCGCTAGGGAGACACACCTGAGCCTCGGTTTCTTTAATGTTAATAATATAACCACACAGGGTTATTGTGAGGATAAGAGTAAAGCCCTTACCAGCAGTCCTGACACGCACTAATGGGGGTTATTTCTATTCTTGCTGTCGGTGCAGTGGTGTTAATCAGTCTCTCCCCTGCATTGCTCACCACCCCCAGCCCTGCCACCTACATGCACACTGAGGACCTGATATTGTCTCCTGTCCACTTGGAGACGCTACAATGAGCTGAGGATACTGGCATGTTGAGGTCTCATTCGTTTTCCAGAAACATCCCCTGCAGATAGGATATATAGGCTGACTGCTTTTAAAGCAGAGTTATTTTTTTTTTTTTGCGGTACGCGGGCCTCTCACTGTTGTGGCCTCTCCTGTTGCGGAGCACAGGTTCCGGACACGCAGGCTCAGCGGCCATGGCTCACGGGCCCAGCCGCTCCGCGGCATGTGGAATCCTCCCGGACCGGGGCACGAACCCGTGTCCCCTGCATCGGCAGGCGGACTCTCAACCACTGCGCCACCAGGGAAGCCCTAAAGCGGAGTTATACTTAATTAAAAAAAAAAATTAACAAAAATAACTTGGTGTAAACATGATTCACCTGGTCCATCTCCCCCTGTTCCACCCACTGAATAGCCCAGACTACTGGTTACAAACTCAAGTCTTCACTGGGACCAGTCCTCACGGGGGACTGTCAGCATGCTTCCTCATTTTTCCCCTTCAAGAGGCCCAGGTAGGCTTCAGTCTGCCTGCACATGTTTAAATTTGTCTCATCTCACACCCTCTCAAACTCTAACCCTTATACTTTTCTCTGCTCTGGGAATTCTGTACCATCTGTTTAAATGCCACAGTTGAAGCTACCAAAAAGAGCTGGCACCAAACACCTATTATGTACCAGGCACTGTGCTGGGCACTTTAGGTCATCTAATCCTTACAGTGATTTTAAAATACTGTCTCCACTTCCCAGATGAAGCAGCTCAGGTTCAAGGCAGGGAATGCCCTTGCCCAGAGGGCCTGCTGTCAGTTAGCTGGCAGAGCTCCAGTACCGACCTAGGTCTGTGGGCCCCAAAGTTCATGCGCTTTCCTCTGCCATCCAGTAGACCAGTGACCCCCGTGGACAGTCTTCATCAAGACCCAAAGGCTGTGGTGTTCTAAGAGCATTTCTTCCCAATCCCCAGAGCTGCAGGATATTTGGGAGAACACACACAGCCCATGAGCACAGAATGGTTCCTTGGATCCAAAAATGGTGGTGAAGGGTGGAGGGAGCTTAAGTTGTAGTCATGATACCTCCCCAGAACATCGGCTTTGAGCTGCTGTTCCTAAGGCATGCCCCGCCACAGATTTAAAGTCTTTGGCGTGGTCACTTCCCTGTTTTCCCAGACCAACCCAACAATAACATGTCTACTCTGAGAAATACAATTAAGTGATTCCTGGAGACAGGATGAGTAGGTGGTCACAAAGTTGAAAGCAATGGGACAATACAAATCCATTTACAGAAGTATGCTTTCCAGGTTACCCTGCGCGCACAGAGGAAATAGTTACTGCTGATCTGCACTACAATTCTTCCACATGGCTTCATACAACCAATAAAAATTTTACAACACTTGAATGAGGATTTCAGTGCCTTTGGGCAGGTAAACACCTGAATATGTCCCTGTTCTCAGTTATCCTGCAGATGCTGATTGAGTGTCTCTGAGGTGTTAGACCCAGCTCTGTGCAGCAGACAAGCAGAAGTTTGGAGGTCTTGGAGCTCCCAGAGTCTTCCCCAGCTGGAAGTGCATGCAATGTGTAGCATGTACAAGCACGCTACCTTCAATGTTAAATGTGACTGAAGACAGTGGCTGTCAGCTCTTGATTCCTTCCTCCTCCTCTCCTTGTCTTTTCAAACACCTCCCTTTTTGTGTCATTTTTTATTAACCAACATGTATTGACTACTGTGTGCTGGTCACTTTGCCACAAAGCTCATCACTTAATTTGTCCCATTTCTCTGGAATCCCTTTCATTCTTCAAGAATTCAGTTGCCAATCCTGGATGCAATGCTTCAACAGGTCACTGCTAGAAAAGCTTAAGACGGTTCAGAGACAGCAAGCTGATACTCTAGCAACTGACTTAAAAAAAAAAAAATCAGTTCTCAACTTTGATAAATTGGGTCTCTTCATAAACTGGATTTTCAGCTTTTCTTGAAAATTTACACCTGGCATCACTGGGTCTGCATTCCAGCAACAGACCATCCAGAGCTAGAGCAGGCACCCTCTAGGACTTGGACTAGTGAAACCTACTCTTTTTTTTTGAAACCTTCTCTTATACATGGGAAAGCTGAGATCCAAAAGGGGGGATTGCCACACAGCTAATTAGTAACAGGATGATCAGCCAGTCTCCCTAATTTCCCTTCTCCTTATTATTTTTTTGTGTGGTACGTGGGCCTCTCACTGTTGTGGCCTCTCCCGTTGAGGAGCACAGGCTCCGGACGCGCAGGCTCAGCGGCCATGGCTCACGGGCCCAGCCGCTCCGCGGCACGTGGGATCCTCCCGGACCGGGGCACGAACCCGTGACCCCTGCATCGGCAGGCGGACTCTCATCCACTGCGCCACCAGGGAAGCCCCCCTTCTCCTTATTAACTAGAAACCAAACAGGCTGAGGTTGCAAAGCACCACTTAGTCTGATTGTATATCCAAGGAGTTCTACCAAAATCTGAGAATCTCTGTGCATTCGTAGCTGTGAATTTCTTGCAGTAACACCTCACCTACCAAGGAAAAGAGAAACTAGTACTGACTGCTTTGTATTGACTGAAGTTATGGACTGAACACCTATATGTGAGGGCAGGAGACGACTGGAGGTGTGAAGATCCAGGCCGACACCTGAGGCTTTTCCACCCTGCAGCACAGTCTGGGTTCAACATCTGCTCTTCATAACGATTAGCCCAAATCACCAAGAACAGTTTATTCTGTTTAGCACAGGCAGGGATAGAAAGACCTGTGAAAATGGAGAGTCATTATAGGAAAAGACAAGAAACCACTTCAACCTGGTGCTCAAGGAACTAAATAACTTATGGAATACCCTTATAACCAAATACTAGGCAGCCCCCAGCAAGAATTACATGTACTGACATAGGATATAATCTCAAGAAGACTAGATGAAAAGGTGCAGTACAGCACGCTACCATTAATGTTACAGGGCATGGGGACAGTATTGTATGTTTGTATGTAGACAGGTAGGTAGGCATATACGCATAGACACGTACATACACACACCCTTCCGTACACAGACTATTATCTGTCAGAGGATATGCAAAAAACTGGTTAACAAGGATTGGAGGACGGAGGGTCAAGAGTGAAAGGGAGAACCACTTTGTACACTATCTTTTATGGCTTGTAAATTGGTTTTCTTAACCGTATGCATACTAGCTATTTCTAAAACATTTTTTTTACAAGGAAAATGAGTGGGGGCAAAACTGTATAGAATTACTCTAATTTCATCTCAAAAGTCTACATTACCAATTCGGCTAAGGGCTGGCGGAATCTAGTTATCAGGAAAACTCTGCTACTGTGCAGGCCTCCTGAGCAGAATCCTGCAGATACTGTATTTCCTTCTGCTCTGGTCCTCAACCAGTGATGTGTCAATCGGCCAAAAGGAAAGACAACAATTTCATGTCCGATGTGTAAGGGGGAGAGGGCTGCAGCTGCACTTCTCACACTGCCCCCCCACCACCCCTTCGAGAATCAGAGGATCTACTCCCACCCAGAGCCATCTGGCACGTTTAAGGGACCATTTTCGTAGTAACTTGCAAGGCAATTAAGCACTTGTGGAAAGCAGATTTGCTGGGGAGGAGTTCTGAACCAGCCCCAGGGCATGGACTGGCATTATCTCATACCAGTTCTCCCACACCAAAAAAAGTACTTTGTCTTCAACCTCACTGTACAGAGCAGATGATTTTTTCAATCTACAAACTTTAATTGTATGTCACTGATATACTGACAGCACGTTAACAGTTTTTTTTGAAAAATTTCTTAACAGAACATCAGAGTATTGCAACACTTTATTAAGAGTATTGGCTTTGAATCAGTAGCTGAAGTAACAATTGCATGAAGCCAGGTCAGGTGTACTGCATAATACTCATACTTGACTTATTGACATTACTTAGCAATTTATTGGACAAAAGTCAAACTTTTTGTTTTTTATTAAGCACATTCCACAGTACAAAGCTGTCGTGAATAATATCTGTACAATTTAACAGTTTCAATAGCTGTTCAGACACAAATTTATTTCAAACAGTTATTGGCAAACATAATTAATTACAAGTTAGAATCAGACTATCCCAGTGCTTTAAAACATTAATATAGCAGTAATTTACAGTTTCTCAATTATGGTTAGCAAAATAAAGTCCAGAGTACAGCTGGGAATTACTACTATAATCCCAGAAAGTCAGAATTCCTCGGGTGCCAAAGTCCCCTGCTATAATTTAGTAGGCACAATTCAAAGGTTGTGTGCATATTCAAAGGCCATGATCTCCCAAGGAACCAGAATTTCTATATTAAACATGCAGAGACAACCACAGAAAGTCCATTCGTTCAGAAGAATTGCCTCCTCCCCTGCCCCTCCCTGCCCTGCCCCCTGGGCTCTCCTAACCAATCTGATACTAAAGCTGTAAGGTAAGAGTGGTCAAAGTTAAGTCACTTTCACAACCGCTGTCAGGGTTACAACATCCACCCGCTGAACGGAGATTTCTTTTTTTTAACACTTTGAGACTCAACTTTTCAAAACCAGAAATTAATTTACTAACATGTAGGAGGGAAGGATGTATTTTTTAAAAAGGACAAAGGAAAACAAAAAAGCAAACCAACCCAATAAACAACCACAGACACACACATTGATTCCCACACCATTCTCAATGTAAAGGACAAAACAGAGCCCAGGCACCTTCCCCTCAGTGGGAGAGTGTGCTTCCACGGGAAGAGGTTTAGTTACAGGAAGTTCTCATTGGTCCTTTAAAACGTTAGCAACATTCCTTGATCTTTGGAAACAATGGCAAGGGGCAAATCAAAACCTAATATTGAACAAGGGAAAAGGAGTGCCAACCAGATGCCAAAGTCCTTTCCACGCACGTCAGCATGATGGTGCCATTCACACATTCGGGCTGCGGAGCGTGCGGGAGCCAGGAGAGCTTGCCGCGGCCACGGCAGCAGGCGACACCAGAGATGACAGAGATGGGACCATGAGCCTGAGGCTTCACACCACCTGGGAGGACCCTTCCACTCAAGATGGGCCCTTGAACCCGCCTGACGCGGGTCCCGGGCTCCAACACACAAGTGGGCCCTGCTACCACCTGACAAGGGCAGGACGCACGAATGCCAGAGCCGGGAGAGCCAGTCAGCGGGGGCCTTCTCGCTCTTCCCTTCCCAGGGTTACTAACACACAGAGTGTGACCTGTGACGGTGGAGTCAAATGAATGCTATGGGAAGTGACCACGGGTACTTAAGGAGTACTGATGAGGAAAAGAACAACAAAAGTATTTAAGGTACCTCTCTACTGTATATACTGCACAACAAATAAAACATTTTGTGTTAAACTTTAGAAATTACATCTTAAAACAAGATTCCCATTAAAACACACACACACACCACACGCACAATGACAATGACAATGACAAAATAAGAACACCGTATGAATACTGCAGGAAGGGTTCTAGGTAATCCACATCAACCCTGGTAGCGGGTTCTTGAGTCCAGCCCACGGCTAAGGGCGAACACACTCTGCATTAGTGTCTCAGGCACGGGGGCCCTGACTCGAGCAACCTTGAGGTTAAACTGTTATGTACATTATATCTACATGCGGATACAGCATTTTAAATTAGGAGGCAAGCACACGTGTAAAGGTGTTACTCTACCAAATATCAGGAGATGGTTGCGGGTACAGAGAACAGTTAATGAAAGAAAAGAGCTATATTACCTGTTGGGAGATAATATAACCTGGCTTACAGTTCTTTAAATTAAAAGAAATTGGTACAGAAAGGAAGTATAATCCAAAAAATATTACTAAAACAACCCAGAGAAATGTTTCCATTGTCCAACATGTTCCTAATACAAGTCACAATTCATAATGACTTGGACGGTCAAAAGGAGAACGCTAACTTCTGAAAAGGAAAGCCCTGGACATTCTGGGTAGGTGTTTGGCACCCAAAATTTCACCGAAGAATGCTGTTTCTTAGTATCAGACCAAAGTGCAAAGCAATATAAATTAGAGGCCAAGTCTTCTCTTGACGGTCGATTTACTTCTGTAAAACAGACTGTACGTTCCTTTTATATGAACAATTTACATTTGAAGCGATAGATTTCTTTTCACTGATGGGGGGAGGAAATGGGCTTCTGTACTACTGAAAGTCGGTGAAGCTAAGGTATCCTTCTCAAAGTAGAGGCCGGAATCGGAGGTGAGAAATGTCGGTACTTGAAGAGTTAGGCTGCTTTGCATCTACCCAGCGTCTAGAACCAATTCCAGCTTCATAACTCAGCTGTGAAGAACTCCCTTAGGCATTTGGTAGCCACGTAGCCAGTAGTTCAAGACTAGGAAACCCTGAAAAAACAAAAACAAAGGGAGTATGGATGGATATTCTGGTTAGACATGGAGATATACACTACAGCCCATCCACATCCACACAGACATGTATGTACTTGCGCACACATAACACTGATTTTTAAATAATCAGCATCAAAATAGAAGTTGCAAGTTGTTTTGCGCATACTACATACCAGGTATCAGGTTTATTTAAACCTCTCAAGAACTTTATAAGGTAGAAACTATTATACCTACTTTACAAATAAGAGAACTGAGGCTCAGAAACATTATTTGGTTTAAAGCATTAGCCATTATATCCTGGGATAAACCATAATGGAAAAGAGTATAAAAAAGAATGTATTTATGTGTGTATTACTGAGTCAGTTTGCTGTACAGCAGAAATTAACACAACATTGTAAATCAACTATGCTTCCAGAAAAAAAAAAAAAGCATTAGCCGTTAAGTGACAGAGAGGGGATTCTAAGAGATGACTGACCCTATAACCTATCATCTTTCATGCTGCTAAAAGTTATGCATGTAACAAAATATGCTTAATGTTAGATTTTATATTTAGCATAATCTTAAATTTACGCCATCCAGAGGCCACCAGGACCTCTCTCATGACCGACCCAGAGTCTTCATCTATCACTGTGAAACAAAAATATGTAAAAGCTAGTAAACAGAGTACTCCTTCTAAACAGAATGCCAACAGTCAGAAATTAATTCTTTTTGAAATAAATCATTTATAAAAGGACAACACAATGTAGAGGGGAAGACAACTGAATGTTCTATATTTTTTTGACCATGACCTTGAGTCAGGAACACATTTTAATCACAGTCTCTACATTCATCCGTGTATGTAAATACACACACATACCCCTACGCAGAACATTCTAACATTCCAACACTAATCATTACTATGGACAATGCAGGCTGACATTTTATGTCCTAAATTTTACCCAAAGTCAAAATCCATTAAAATGATTTCACAACCACTAATAAGTTACAACCCTTTCCAAACACTGCACTAAACCATTGGCCTGGAAGATCTAAGTCACCTTTAGGTCTAAAATTCTATGGTCAAAAAGAGAGAGAGAAAAAGAAAGGGGGTGGGGGTGGGGGTGGTTGTTTGGTTTTGTTTTGCTTTTAAACCTTGTATATATTTTTTTAAAGGCAATTTTCCTAAAAGGTTGTTAATTTCCACAAAATCCTAATTTCACAAGAATCCTAATAAGCTTCCAAACGAACGCAAGACAGATTCACAATTTCATCTGCCACTGTTTTCCCATGAAGGATATGTAAGAGTATTTGAATTATTTTAAAAATATTAACACCCAGAGATGAGAAGTCAGCACTCTCAAACGCTGCTGGTGGGAATGTCAACTGATGTAACTCTTCTGGAGGGTAACACAACTCTTAAGTATCAAACCTCTTTAAACATCATAGCTTTCAACCTAGACACTGCAGACATTTCTAGAATTCTATCCAAAGGTAATAAAAGGTTGGGCAAAGATTAAGCTGAAAGAATCATGGCAATGTGTTTTATAATAATTAAAAGCTGGGGGGGGGGATATAAATATATAACAGGTGCATATCCAAACAATCAAACATGATTTTGCCATTAGGAACAGTAATTTAGACAAATAGTGACATTACTGACAGGCAACAATTTCACAATAAAGAAAAAAAAAAGCACAGTTATCAAACATAATTTTTAAAAGCCTGAAAGGCTACATACAAAGGAGTTAATAATGGTGAACCAAGAAGAGGAGTTATCTAGTTTTTACTAATTTCCTAATATTGTCTCATAATAAAAAAGAGAGCTACTGTATACATAGCTCTTGGGAGTTAGTAATTTTTTAAAAAAAAAATGACTCAGCAGAAAAATCTATTGCTAAATTTCTCGACATAGAAATACTCCTACCTTATATTTTAGGGGTAAATATTTTACTGCAAGGTTAAATCATCATTAGGGTAGTGTTTCTTATTATGCATAAATTTTACAGCATCACATGGTAATAATTTTTTTCATGTTACAATAAATGAAAAGAATTTGGAAAAGAGCAATAAAATCTATAAAGTTGACTGCCAAGGTTGTCAAAAGTAATTCACTTTGAAGAGACAAACACATTTGAGGTTTCATTGCTTGTGCTCCTTAAAAAGCAGATAAGATTTTTCCACTGATTTATAATTGTGGATCATAACAAGGCAGTTGTTCTTAGTTTCCCAAAAAGGGGGCGAGAGGAGGGCCTGGAAGAAGTAACACTACAGTTTCCTTTCCACCACAGCCAATGAGAGAAACGGCATTGGTGATCATTTCATCTCTCAATCAAAGGAATCTAATTTCACGGCATTTTAAAGTAGTATATAAAAGTTGTCCAATTTGTGAAAGTTTACTATGTTCTATAATTCATCTATCAAATTCGCCAGAGGGGGAGAAAACATACTACAGATGTCTTAGATTTTATCATGTGCTTCTTTAACAGTGGAAAGACACAAACACATATCCAAACTACAAAAGAGGTATACTTAAGTTGTTGTATGATATACCTACTCCCCTGACCCTATCCATTCCAGAAGCTCAGCCACAACTGTAGTTGTGTGTGTTCTATTTTATCTATTTATCTATGTGGGAAAATAAAAGCAGAAGCATTGGGATATAGTCAAAGCAATGCAGAGAGAATGTATAGCTCAGAAAATAAAAAATTAAGAACAGAATAAACTTAACAAAAGGTGTGCAAGACTTCTACACTAAAAACTGCAAAACACTGCTGAAGAGAAACTGAAGAAGACCTAAATAGTAAAGAGATATACTGGGTTTATGGATTAGAAGACTCAGCATTTGTTAAAGATGGAAATTCTCCCCAAGGTGACCTTTAGAGTCAATGCAGTCCTGATCATAATCCCATAATCTTCATAGAATTTGATGATTTCATTCAAAAATGAGTATGAAAACCAAGAGGACCTAGAAGAGTCAAAACAACTTTTTTAAAACTGACTTATTACACAGCGTGGTATTGGCAAAAGGATAGCCATAGATCACAGAACAGAATAGAGGCCAGAAAAAGTGTAACAAACAAGTGGTCAATTGAGTTTTTGACAGAGTGCTATAACAATTCGATGGGAAGAGGACAGTCTTTTAACCCAAAAGAGCTGGAACAACTAGAAGGCTGTATAAAAAACACCATTCACAGAATTAATTCTAAATGGATCAAAGACCTAAATGTAAAACCTAAGCATATAAAACTCTTACAACGATGCTGGTCCAAACACAGTAGTCACTAGCTACACGTAGCTATTTATTTTTTTATATTTTATTTAAAAAAATTTTTGGCTGCGTTGGGTCTCCATTGCTGCACGCGGGCTCCCTCCAGCTGCAGTGAGCGGGGGCCCCTCATTACGGTGGCCTCTCCCTCTGCGGAGCACAGGCTCCAGGTGCACAGGGTTCAGTAGTTGTGGTACGCAGGCCCAGCAGCCGCAGCTCGCGGGCTCCAGAGCGCAAGCCCAGCAGCCGTGGCGCACAGGCCCAGCTGCTCCGTGGCACGTGGGATCTTCCCGGACCAGGGCTCAAAACCGCGTCCCCTGCTCTGGCAGGCGGACTCCCAACCACTGCACCACCAGGGAAGCCCGCTACATGTAGCTATTTAAATTTAAGTTTAAATGAAGTACAATTAAATACAATTAAAAATCCAATCCAATTCAATTCAATTCAAATATAATTAAAACTTCAGTTCCTAAACCAAACCGGACACATTTCATGAGCTTAATAGCCACATACGGCTCGTGACTATCAAAGTGGACAGTGCAGGGACTTCCCTGGTGGCGCAGTGGTTAAGAATATACCTGCCAATGCAGGGGACACGGGTTTGATCCCTGGTCCGGGAAGATCCCACATGCCGCAGAGCAACTAAGCCCATGTGCTACAACTACTGAAGCCCGTGTGCCTAGAGCCTGTTCTCCGCAACAAGAGAAGCCACCACAGTGAGAAGCCTGCGCACCGCAGTGAAGAGCAACCCTGGCTCACTGCAACTAGAGAAAGCTCACGCACAGCAACGAAGACCCAACACAGCCGAAAATAAATTAATTAAATAAATAAATTAAAAAAAAAACATCACAAAGTGGACAGTGCAGCTGTAGAAAATGTAAACTAATCTGGTGAAAGGAAGCAGGTCAGTGTTTGCTAAGGCTGTGAAGGGATCAGGCTCTGACTACAAAGAGGACACAAGGGAACTTCTGGGGGGTGATAAAAATATTCTTACCTGGAGTGTGGAGGAAATTGCAGGGGTGTATATATTCGTAAAAATGTGTCACAAAACAGTATAATTTAAGTGGGTACAATCTGTTTTACAAAAATCATACCTCAATAAAATTGATTCAAAACAGCAATGGGGCTTAGCAAAGGTGAAGGGGGCGGGGCAGAGGGAGATGTGTACATCTAGGTACCTGTCTATATGTAAGGAATATATCTAGTACTTGACTATGCCACTTTAGACAACTTATTCTAATTTCCTACTGAGCTATTATCTTTATGTTTGTGGAAGGTGTATGAATACACTGCAGTTTCACACATATTTATTTATGGGCAAATTCTTGTTGGCCCAGGAGAAAGAGCACAGAGATGTCATGTTGGCCCCGGGTGTCACTTGACCAACAAACGTCAACAAGCACTCATAATACACTGTGTGCTCTATTAGATACTGGGGCTCCAAAATAAAAGGAGCTCCACGCCTTGTAAGCGAGACAGGCATGCAAATTATTTCAATACCAAATAATAAATTAAGTCAGATGAAGTAAAGGAGTGGGGGTGTGGTGGTATCCACAAAACCCTAACAACACAAGCAAGGGGAGGGAGGTGGCAGAGGTCTGTACTACTGAAGTGTAATTAGGGAAATTAAACAGAATTCAGTCTGGTTGGAGCCCTGGATTTTTGGGAGGCAAGAATGCAAGGCTGGGGTGGGGGAGGGTAGAGAGGACAGAAGGTAAGAGCTAGATATTGAAATTTCTGTTAGCTAATCTTAGCTAAGCCTTGCTCCTGAAAACAAAAGGAAGCTAGTGAAGAGGAGAGGCAGGGCTAAGATGACCATAGTTGTTAACAGGATGAAGGGTGGGCTGAAGAGGGAGAAGAAGAGACCAGGAAGGAGGAAATCAGTTTTCATTTGGGTCCCTTCCTCCTTCCTTATGTATTTCTTTGGTTTGGGGCGAAGGGAGGTTGAGGCGGGGAAGAGCAATCACTCAAAAAATCCTTGCCGGGCTTCCCTGGTGGCGCAGTGGTTACAAATCCACCTGCCAATGCAGGGGACGCGGGTTTGAGCCCTGGTCCGGGAGGATCCCATAGGCTGCGGAGCAACTAAGCCCGTGCGCCACAACTGCTGAGCCTGCGCTCTAGAGCCCATAAGCCACAACTACTGAAGCCCACGCGCCTAGAGCCTGTGCTCCGCAACAAGAGAAGCCACCGCAATGAGAAGCCCGCGCACTGCAACGAAGATCAAATGCAGCGCCACCCCACCCCCCAAAAAAGAGATCCTTGCCTTCTTCCTCTGTAATTTCCTATAATTCAATAAACGTAAAAATTCTGCCATGTGAATTTCTCAACTGACTTGCGAAGAATCTATCCAGAGAGAAAGCAGCAAGGGAGATGGCCACTGTCACAAGAGCCAGTATGAACACAGTTGAGACCAGGAACGGCAACTATGTATGTGGCTTACAGGTCACTACTGTGGCTCAGATCCTATAGCCAGGGAGGCACAGCCAAGCCATCGAGGCACTTAGGCCTTCTGGGTCCACATGGGGTCCCATCATCCTTCCAAAGGCAGTACACCAGCCAGTCGCTATGGATCAAACTGAGTTGGCATGAAGAAACAATGCATTTGCCATTCCTGATGCAGATCCTTGGTTTATCACTAATAGATGGAACAGGGGCAAGACCAGAGGTCCACATGCTTCTTCTTAATGGGCCAGATTGTACGTATTTTAGGCCACACAGTCTCTTTTGCAACTACTCAGCTCTGCCACTGAAGCACGAAACCAGCCACAGACAATACATAAACAGATGAGCTGTGGCTGTGCTCCAATAAAACTACTTATGGGCACTGGAATTTGAATTTTCTATAATTTTCACATGTTCTAAAATAATATTCTTCTTTTAATTGTTTCAAAGTATTTAAAAGTGTAAAAAACTATTCTTAGATTGCTATGGTAAGGATTAAAAAAAAATAAGGCAGTGGGTCAAATTTGGCCTCCAGCTGTAGCCTGCCGACCCTGAATAAGATAAACTTCCTGGAGCGGAAATAAGGAGTATCTGAAAAGATGTCAACTTAGTGATCTAGAAAGCAGTGATTCCCTATCTTTTCACCCCAAAAATTTCACGATTCTACACACGGACTTTCTTTACATTTTTAATATTCAATGAACAGGAAAATATACAATGACAAAAAGCTACTAAGCATTAAGTAATGTTTTTACATAAATATGAATTTTATTAACACAGTCTTTACATACATATATACATGACAGTACAAATATGCACAAACATTATTTATTCAATCTACAAAGTTTAATGTGCACAGAATTCACAGGCCCCCTCGCAAAATTCTCAAGAGTTGGGAATACTGCTCCAGATGAACATGGTCATCAGTCCCAAGGACACTGCCAAGTAAGGCTTCTCATCCTCTACCTGGACACCCTTAGTAATCAAAACATGCCATCATCAATGTTATTATGGCCCTAAGTCTTCCTGTTACCGGAGCAAAGGACTTGGCTTCCAGGGTACCTGTTGTGTCTAATGGATGAAGAACGAGTTTTAGGGGCTCTCTCAACAAACACCCTTCTTTGATTCCTACCCTAGGGAATGGTGGTGGTGGGTGGATTGTAATGGGGGGGGTGGGGAGGGGAGGTAGTTTTAAGTGTTTGCCTGATGGTGATTTTAAAAAAAAATAAAAGATAGAACTGAAAGACAGGAAAGAAAGAGAAAAAGGAGATCCTTGCACCGCAAAACAGAATCTGGAGGACTTTACTGGTACTAAATTGGTATGACCTGGGAAAAGTTTTAAAAAACAGGAACCGTGGTGTCTACCAATATGAAAACCCACAATAAGCAGGATTCCGATTTATATCTTATTTTGATGTGACCATAAAGATCTAGCCTTATGCTAGAACTCTGCAAAGTTGATGCATCTAATGTTCCTATTACTGAGAAAGGAACCCAAACCATAAAATTTCCCCAAAGGGAAGGTGAATTCAATCAGCAAAATTAAAAGTGGGGCAAGTACTCACCTGAAACAGGTAAAGTGCAGACTGTTATCTGGAGATGTAAGTGTATGTTCTGGAGGGAGAACGGGTCTCATTCTGGGCACTGGGAGGCACATTTAAGAAATCCCAAATCAAAATTGTGTCATCATGGGAGCTGCTGATGATCTGAAATTCATCAAACTGTAGCCGAAACACACGTCCAGAATGTTCCTGTGAAACATAACAGCTTTATGCATAAAACGAAATCTTTACAATCCCTCCTATCTCACTACCAGGGAGTTGGCACAGGCTGAAAATACAGCTCCTTATCCAGGCTTCCTAAGTAACTTTCCAGAGCTTTATTGAGCTTTGTCCTTCACCCTAGGAATACAGATTCTGCCTTCCCTTCTAGGCTTTTTCTTTAATTTAACTTTGTGTCCTAGATCCTGGCCCATTAATATGTCAAAGAAGAAAAACCATGTGATCATCTTACAAAGGGTCTTAAGAAGGTAAGCAACAATATTTAATACCCACTCTTGATACACTGTAAAAACTAGGACCAGAAGAATAGTGTTTTTAACACCACCAAGCATATCTATCTCAAACCACAGCTAACATCAAAATTAATGGTGAAATACCAGAAGTCTTCCTATTAAAATCAAGAAGAAAACAAGAATGGCCCTGACTCAAGTTCTGCATGTTCTTCTAGTCAATGAAAGGAGAGATAAAATAGAAGGTAAAACTACTGAAAATAAGAAAACTCTATCAATATTTTCAAACAACTGTCTCCTCAAAAATACAAAAGTAAACAGACTGCTAGAAATAATGAGCTTGGTAAAGTTGGTAAAACAAGATTAATATATAAAAATAAAGTATTCCTATATGCCAAGCAATAATCCGTAGAATACAGATTGAGGGGAAAGTCCACCACAATAGTACAAAAATGTGCTGAGTTATAAAACACAACACAACCACAGACACCCATATTAGGAAATCTCCCAAACTTGCAGACAGGAAATACTTTATGTTCTAGGAGGAAACCAGTCCACCTACAAATGAGGAAGCCTGCTTTCATATTTTAAGTTGTGTTAATACTCTTTATAAAAGAGCTCACAGAAATATGAATGTCAAATATTCTCTGATTTTGACTAATAAACAAAATTAACAGAACAGCGCATTTCTCAGAAGGCATGCTGTGAGGTACAGAAGCTTTCCAGTGATAGGCTCAGGGAGGTCTATCTGCAGGTAGGTGGCCAACCGCCAGCACAGGGAAGCACTTCCCTTTCAACAGATCACATACCACCAATGTGCGCAGACACAACGTGCTTGCTGGGGCTCGGGGGTCGAGAGCAGCCTGCAAGTCCCAAACTTTGATTTTCCTAGAAAGGAAAATGAAATCACAATTAGTGGAAAAGTCAACATTTTATATATTGTCAAGCATTTCCTCGACAGAAAGGAGTGCATTCGAACTGCCTATTTTAAAAGCTAATGGGGAACCTGCTGATGTTTTGACAAGGTATTTAAACCAATTACACTTGATTTGGAAAAAATAAGGACCTACACATTCTCAGAATTGCTGAAATTGTGAAGAAATACTGTTTGAAGGGAGACAAGAAAACAACTTCACATTATCTAAATTCAATTCCTGACTTGATAATCTATGTCACCAAATTCATTAATCAGGAAGCTCTCTAGGGCTGAGTAGGTGCTGCTGACAGAAGCTAGGGCTCTCTGTGAAATTCCAAGGATACCTTTCTCCAAACTAAGCAAATGCTGAAAGTTAATAATAGGAGTATGAACAGACCAACTAACCCGCCTGTGAAGTATATATAAGGTCATCTTGAAAGGTTTACGGCTGCCACTTGCTCATTTTAAAAGTCATGAGGCTTTTTAAAGAGGATGTGTTCAATTCACCAAAAGGGGAAAAGAAATTTATCATTGAACTCACCAAAAAAAAAAAAAAAAAAAAAAAAAGCCTGGATTAATTTAGTGCTGGGACAAGGAACTAGCTACTCCCTGAGTTTACAATAATGGTTAAAAGCATAAGCTTATTAATTCATCCTTCTGGGTCTCAGTGTCCCCACTTGATCCTGCCATCCACCATTACATAAGAAATACCTAGCATGGGACCTAGCACATACACAGCTGCTTAATATGCAGTACTTATTTTTCCTCTTCATATAGTTATGGCCACGCATTTGAAAATTTGAAACACGTACCCATCATAGGCCCCACTGACAATCCTCTTGTTATCAAACCGGATGCATCGGACCAATTCTTCATGTCCCTCTAGGACTCTTAAACAGGCGCCACATTCAATATCCCACAGTCTTGAATGAAAAACAGATTTCTGTGAATCAACTTCCTACACATGATTCAAACTATCCATACGTGATCTTCCCTACCCTGGGAATCTTTATTTCTATCTCACTCCCAGTTCACATTATACACATGTGAAGATATGTGTGTACCTTTGTACCATTCATGTGTTTTTTAAGAACTAACTTGGGAGAAAGGCTTACTTTTCATTTTATTTCCTTTTACATAGTTTGAAACTTTTAAAAATCACATGCATGTTGTTATTATTTAAATAATACCAACAAACAAATTTCAATTACATTTAGTTTGTAGGCATGCTCTTGATGTCTGAGTTGATGAAACCAAGTAGCCAAATGGTCTAGGAAGAATTCTGGGGGGGAGACAGGGATTGCAGGCCGTAAAGAAGAAAAAGGATGTCGGTGTGGGGAAGATAATAAATACAGCCCAGGGGGTTGGGCTTCCGCCACCAAGGTTAGAACTGGTGGACCAGCACAATGGTCTCCCTCTCCTGATGAGGCTTAGGGATTCCCCTTCCTAGATACAGTATTACAAGGTCAGAGTGGGAGCCTCTCATTAGGCATATGCAGTGTCTTAGAAATATAAACCCAGTGACTACCATCCAGCCTTTTTCTCTGTATATGATTTATGTAACAATTCTGGAAAGAGATTTTTAAAAAATTATCACTGATTTAACTACATTATTTGTAAAAAGAAACCACAGCAAACTAACATGTACAAAACAAAGTTAGCAAATTAATTCTATAATGACATTTTCTTAGCCTCCCCACTAGTACCTATCATAAATCCAATGAATATTCTATCCTCAGCAAATGTTCTCATCAGTGTCAGTGATGATGGCTTCTCTAATCTACTGTGAAGAGAACACTGCCACTATAACTCCAAAGTGGTTCTCTTCCATAAACTATTCAGCAGTACACATTATTATTTTGTAGAAGCTCGGAGGTTCTAATGAGGAAGTTAAGAATTGTTTATTGCTGAAATATTAAGTAATACCAAGCATAAAGAATGCAACAGAACCAAGATTCAAGTTCTCAACTGACTTTTATGATACCTTAAAACTTAAAATGATAAAGAAAACTTTTGGCAGTTAAAGCTACATTGTGTTTGCTTTCTTTCTTTCTTTTTCTAAAAAAATAATCTTGAACCCAATCCTTATTTTGCCCAAACAGGCAATTTGATTATAAAAAAGCTACTAGAATATGTTGGGACAGTTGGAAAAATGACTTGGGGTAATTAAATAGATATTTAAGGGAAGTTCTTAATAAGATAAAAAGTGTTTAAAGACATTCATATTTATTAGAAAGCAAGGACAATGAGTGTTGGGAAGAAAAAAGGGAGATAAGGTAAATGACCAAACAGGAATTGATGACAGTGTTGGGAGAGAGAAATAAAGTACACTGCCCTCTGTTAGGGAGAGAGGCAGGAGCTCACTGGTAAGGGAAAGGAGAGCATCAGGCTGGAGCATCCTCTGTTCTGAGGCACTACGGTATTAAGTGATCTTGGGTGGAGTTGAGGTTATAAAACCTTGTGCACTGGGGGAATCTTGGAAGAATACCCAGGGCATACACAATTTACCCACTTTAGTATGCAGAACCAGAGAGATAAATAAAAGTTACCTAAAGTTTTCTTATCTGAAGCAGCCCCCAAAACTGAGTCTTTTGAGCATCAGGACTGGAGATAAGTCAACACTATGGCAAAAATGAGCCCACTCTGTCACCACACCAACTTCTACCCACCTTATGGTATTATCCGATGATCCACTAACAACCAGCCGATCCCTGTACTGGAGACAGGCAATGCCTCGCTTGTGCCCATTCAGAGTACGAACAAATTCACAGGTGCTCGTGCTCCAGACCTGTACAACAAATTAGCAATACATTTAAGAATAAATGCAGAAAAGCCCTTGCACAATGTACCTTTAAAAAAAAAAAATCAGAACTTTTAAGTATGACCACAATACTTGATTATGAAATACGCTGGGAAGGTTGGGGAACAGATTGGATAGCATAACATTTCCTTAGCTGCTGAGTGATAAAACTGGAATGAAATACAGAGGGAATTTGTGAAGTCTCCAAACCTTGAGATCTTCACAAAGAGAACATCTCCTGGATGGTTCAGACATTCATTTGCCTAGAGAGAAGGGTCTGGGCCAGATCTTATGTTTTTAGGCCGGGTGACACGTCAAACCCAATGTAACTGACGTGAAAGGGCTTCACCTTTTGCATCCTCTTCTTTTCCAGCATAGTTTCTCGAATAGCTCCATTTGTTTTGACACATCACTCCTAATATTATGTATGTGGAATAAATAACCCCTCTTTTGTGAAGCTGTCTGCAAGACTTAGATGTCCATAGACACACTTAATACCAGCCAAATAAGGAGACACAAAGTAACCAATGTTCCCTGAATTATTTTATTAGCTGCATTTGTAGTTGAATGGGACAACCAGATATCCAGAGGCAAAAGGATGAAGTTGGATCCCTGTGTCACACTGTATACAAATATTTAATTCAACATGGATCAATGATCTAAATGTAGCAGCTGAAACTCTCAGAAGAAAACATAAGAGTAAATCTTTGTGACCTTGTATTAGGCAACTGTTACTTAGATATGATAATAAAAGCACAAGTAACAAAAAAAATTGATGAACTTGACTTCAACAAAGTTAAAACTATTTGTGTTTCAAAGGACACCATCAAGAAAGTGAAAAGACAACCCACAGGAAGAAAATATTTGCAAATCATTTATCTGATAAGGGACTTGTAACCAGAACATGTAAAGAACTTTTGCAACTAAATAATAAAGAGACAATCTAAGGTTTGAAAAGAGCAAAAGATTTAAGTAGATGTCTCTTCAAAGAAGTTATAAAAATGGCCAATAAGCACATGATGCTCAACATCACTGGTCATTAGGGAAATCGAAAGAAAAACTGCAGAGACACCACTAAATACCTACCAGGATGGCTATAATAAACACACACACACACACACACACACTAACAAGGGCTGGCAAGGATATGGAGAAATACCTGGGCTGATATTATGCAACATCTGTTTTTTTTTTTTTTTGCGGTACGCAGGCCTCCCACTGTTGTGGCCCCTCCTGCTGCAGAGCACAGGTTCCGGACGCGCAGGCCCAGCGGCCACGGCCCATGGGCCCAGCCGCTTTACGGCATGCAGGATCCTCCTGGACCGGGGCACGAACCTGTGTCCCCTGAATCGGCAGGCGGACCCTCAACCACTGCGCCACCAGGGAAGCCCCAACATCTGTTTTGTACAAAGGCCCAAACCCTCTTGACTTCCAGGCACTGGTCTCGTACAAATTGGTGTGACTGACTGGTGAGGTGCCAAAAATCCTAGTTTTTCAGCTTCCAGACTCTATCCAATCTAAAAGTCTGATGCTATCTAGTCTGTGATCTGTGGGGCTAGATACTAGCATGCTGGCCAGTACGGGTCATAAAAGGAAGGTTTCTGAGCCCATACACTGCTGGTGAGACTGTTAAATGGTGAAGCCATTTTGGAAAACAGTTTGGCAGTTCCTGAAGATGTTCAACACAGAGTTACCATCCCAAGAGAATTAAAAGTATATGTACACGCAAACATCTGTACACAAATATTTATGGCAGCATTACATATAACAGATAGAATGTGCAAACAATCAAAATGTCCGTGAACTGATGAACGGATAAACAAAATGTGGTGCATCCACACACAGAATTTTTCTAGTCATCAGAAGGAATGAAGTCTGATTCATGCTGCAAAGTACATGGATGACCCTTGAAAACACTACACTAAGTGAAAGAAGCCAGACACAAAAGGCCACATGTAGATGATAACATTTATCTGAAAAGTCTCAAATAGGCAAATCCATAGAAAGATTACTGATTGCCAGGGACTGGGGGTAGAGAACAGGGGCTGACTGCTAATGGGTATGAGGTTTTTTCAGAGGGTGATAAAGATGTTCTGAAACTAGTGATGACCATACAACACTGTGAATATACGAAATCACTGAATGGTATGCTTTCAAATGATGAATCTTATGGTATGTGAATTACATCTCAGTAAGGCTGTTATAAAAATATAAGGAAAGCTAAAATTTTAATAAGTTAACATGTACATTGGAACCAGCACTACATTCACCATACCCGATGGATCACCCTAGACTACAAGTGCTTGTCACACGTCTGCCTCACACCACACGTTGAGCTCCTTGGAGGCAGGGACATGTCCTGTTCCTCATCATATCTCTAGCATCCAGCCCAGGGTCTATGGCACGGCAGGCTCTCAAGATTAGGTGAATAAATCAGATCTGAACTCTGCCACTAACTAGCTAATGTGGCCTCCAGCACAGTCCTCTGTGCCACATCTGTAAAATGTGGCTCAGCAGAGTGCTGGGAGGGTGGAATGAGGCAGTAATGGGAAGCTTCTGGCACATGGTACATGTCCCATAGGTTAGTTCTCTTCCCTTTAAAAAGGTTATCAACAATGTCCTTTCATGAAATAGAAGACTGCTCTCGGTCCGGACCCCATGACGCTTTTCTATGACCTTGCCTACGACTTGAGAAGCATAAAGAATGAGCATGCCTTGAGGTCTCATAAGCACAAGTAGAGGAGAATAAAGATCTTGCCAGATGCGAGGTTGGTATAAGCCACCTCTGCTTTCTCTGTGTTCTAAAAGGGATGGCAACAAGCAGAGTTATGACTGCAGACACACTTACTTTGATGGTCCTGTCCCCAGAGGCAGACACTATGTACTTATCGTCAAAGTCTACTACATTGACAGCAGCACGGTGGCCAACCAGGACACGGCGTAAAGTGATATCAGTGGCAGAAGCCATGTCCCACACTGCGATGGAGCGGTCCTTGGAACAGGTCACCATCAGTCCATTGCTGAAGCGTAAGTGCAGTACAGCCTCGTTGTGGTGGATCAACGTGTTCAGAACTTCACCCGTGTTCACATCCCAGACTCTAGGGAACAGAAAAGCACAATGCTTAATTATCGAGACAACCAGGAAAAGATTCCTGTGTCTGTGCTCTGGGCCCATTTTTAGTAGTAGGCTGGGGAGGAGTGGACTTCACAAGTATCTGGTGACTGGGACCTGACACCATGCTTAAAAGGAGCCCCCAGAAGCAGTTTTTTCTATTTGTGAAGAAATGGTAAGATGGTTTCAAAAAAGAAGGCCAGGACTTCCCTGGTGGCGCAGTGGTTGAGAGTTCGCCTGCCGATGCAGGGGACACGGGTTCGTGCCCCGGTCCGGGAAGATCCCCCATGCCGCGGAGCGGCTGGCCCGTGAGCCATGGCCGCTGAGCCTGTGCTCCGCAACAGGAGAGGCCACAACAGTGAGAGGCCCGCGTACCGCAAAAAAAAAAAAAAAAAAAAAGAAGGCCAATTCTGACTCCTGCCCAAGTATTCAGGGATGGTGTTTGCAGCCTTGTGCTGATGGCAAAAAATGATGCAAGGAAGTGGGCTTTGCAGTGAGTTTGAGATGACAGAAAGAAGATGGCTTGGTGGCTGGGTTCCAAGCTTAAGGTTGTTTTTGACCTCTGACAAGCCTTTGAGTCTATTATTTATCCACTGCAAACTGGAGGCTGTGGGTCTCATCAATCACCACACCCATCTATCTACCCAACCGCTTTATGGACAAAGCACATGTCTCCAATTGCTTCACCCTTGAGATACAGGCTTCTTAGGGGCAGCCCTTTCACATCATAGCTTTTCTGGAACCCCAATCTCCTAAGGGGACAAGTTCGTGCAGAGCCGACGAAGAGAGTCTCAGGCTTCTAAGGCCGAGACATGACCTATCGTGGAAGCAGCAGCCTGGAAGCACTGAGTCAGGGAAAGGATACTAGGCATGCTGGTGACTATTTAAATCTCTTAGGTGTGCCTGTAAAGCAATCCTCTTCAAATCTCTGACTCACTCTAGAAGAGGCATTTCCTTTCCTCCCCATGACATGCCTTCCTCAGGCTACCAGCAGTCCAGCTGAAGCTTTACTGTATTATCTCTAGGCTCTGGTGAACGCATCACTACAGCAAAATCCAAAGCCATCTGGTATGGAAAAACATGCTTGTCCCAGTGGTTTAGGAGTAGATCCCAATAATGTTTCCTTTCTACTCTCAACTCCCAACCAGCAGTCACTGCTTCCCTTCTACTGTAGAACACTGCCACTTCCATCTTCATCACTCTGCCCCTGGGGTGGCATCTGAAAACTACTGTCTCCATCACTGGAAAAGCTACATAATATCAAGATAGTCTCGAGTGCTATAAATTCAAGGCTCGAAATTAACTAACTATGTGACTGAGTAAATTATTCGCCTCTCTGGCCTCCATTTCCCAATACTACATCTATAAAAAAGAAGATACTACTTACTTTAGAAAGGTTGATGTGAGAATTCAATAGAATAACATTATACAAAATATCGGGCACATTATTTGTGTCCCTCAAAAAGTGCTGCAAATCTCTGCTTCTGATTCTTCTGGTACTTGTAGTTTACTGTCCACCACACTCCTAGAACACCTGCTTCCTTCCTCTCTCCTCTAGAGCGTGGTCTCCCAGGAGAAAGCTACCCTGACACTGTCAGGTACTGTGCTTTTACAGGAAGGCATGTTGCCATCTCTAGAATGTATGGTAATGGGAATAGGACCTACTTAACAAAAGTTAGCTTTCCTGCCTACTTTGTTCAAATGTACCTACACCACAAATGGTTTTGAAATATAGCATACAAAAACATATACAGAGCATGTGTGTACTTCATTGCAGAAGAGGAGGTGAATCTGTCTCCTTGTGGAAGGTACAGAAGTTCAGGCCAGTGAAATCCAATCACTCACCTCACTGTAGAGTCAGAAGAGCCAGTCACAATGACACGTTCATCATACTGCAGACAAAGGACAGAGCCAGTGTGTCCCGTTAACACTTTCAAACATTCCAAGCTGGTTTTATCCCAGATCTATTGAGACAAACACAAACAGTAATTTAGTATATCACATTCTGATCAATGTTTTTATCATACCTTATTTTCTGAATCATAAAACAAAACAAAGCTGTGTTACAGTAAATAAGAGCAGTAAACATCAAACAGGTGGTAAATGACAAGAGGGGAAGAAGAGGCAATACTGAATAACTTCCAGAATAGGTATACTACTTTGTTTACTTTGTCCCCATAACTACTGTGCCCATTATACTTAACAGCTTTATAAAGAGAATTTTTAAATAAACTCTGTGAAAAGAGTTGGCTCACCCTCTGGAAAACAACGTGACAGTATCTATTAAGAGCTTTTAAAAATGCATACCCCTTAACCCATTACATTTGTTTATGAAAGTTTAAAAATGAAAAATGTTCAGCATCTCAGAATAACTTCAAAGTAAATTATGAAGAGTTTTTAATGAGAAAACACACTGCTTTATTATAGTTACTTTTTAAAAAAAATCAGAATAAAAGTCATCTCTATAGTGACATAAACATTATGTATATTTAAAAAAAAAGATTAAAAGGAAGTAAAGTGTTGATAGTTGACTTTGTACTCTGAATGCCGTTTTTCTCCTCTCTTTTGATCTTTCCAGTGTTTTCCAAGTTTTCAATAATGTCCCAAAATAATGGGGGGATGGAACGTGATTTTTTTCAAAGACTGTTTTGTTAAAAATAGAGTCTACGGAACTATTTCTTCCCTTGTAAAAGTACTATCATAATTTGCAGTGTCCCTAAAGTTTACCACAAATGGCCAAGATATTACAAGCACTACAGACAGTTAAGTGTCTTTCTATAATAGTAAGGCTTGCTTCTAATTTCTGACCTAGTAGAACCACAGCTATTTTGAAAGTGTGAGCTGATCAAGGACTGAAGCAGAATGAAGTACAGAAGGTTTCCAACCATTGGTCTAGATGAGCTCTCTAAAGCGTAGTTTTGCTCCATTGCTCCGTGTCTTATAAATCACGTGCAGGCCTAATTCAGGCATGGGTATGCCTCTATTAAGAGAATTCTCTGGAAACATCCAGCGTAAGTGAAATGCAAGCCCATGGCCAGCCCATGCTTTGACAAGGTCATTATAAACCATTCTTACCTATTCCTTAAAGGAGAACTGCCAAAATTAAATAACAACACTTTCAAGAGCATATTTGTGGCCACAGGTGAGGACTATCAATAACTATTACATAAAAATAGAGTTCTGTGGTCAAGTATGTTTTCTAAGTTGGAAAACTCTGGGTGCCTCTACTGTATGTCTTCTCGGAGCCTTTATATGCTACTGTAACCTGTACATTTCTAAGAAAGGGATACAGCATGCAGTGTTTTCTAAATTTCTTTGAAGGGAATTACTCTTCAAAGCAATATCCTTTGGATTCACATCCACAGAATACCTTTTGGGAAACACTATAATACATATAGGAAACCAACAAAACAGTTTCTTTATATTCTATAATTCAGTGATTTTTTGCCCCAGTTATTGGAATTATTGAAATTCCACTATTTTATAAAACAAAAAACACACAAGCAAAAATACCTTTTAACTGACCCAAAGTAAAAGAATATAGAAAACAAGGCCAAGGGGAGAAAGCCCACTACAACCTATCTTCCCAGTTGACTGTAACTAAAAACTCTAGACAAAATACAAAAACAACTAGCTGAGGACTCTGAAAACTGTGAGGGGAAGGGCAGCCAGGAGAAAGCAAGTATTGTATTGAATACATTGTAGCAAGGGGTAAGAGTTTGGAGACAGGATCCACATGGGGTGAGTTTACCATTCTTTCTGTTTTCTCATTTCCTTCTTTTGTGGTCTTGACCCAAAGGCAGGTCCAGATCAAGGAACTGCACAGTGAAACAGCAGCACAGGCAGCTACAATCTGAGAAACCAGTCTTTCTGGACAGAAAGGCTAAAAAAGGAATCCTTGGGGACCAAAGAATGTGCGAAAGACCCTATTTTCTTTTTCTCTTTTCTCAAACGGCTTTGATCCAAAGGACAAGCCCAGTCATGGAGATGTACTGCAGAGCAGTGGAACAGGTAACTAAAATTCTAAGAGAAACCCCATTTTTCTGGCCAAAGGAAAATGAAGAAAGGATCCTTGTGGGCTGAAGAGACTTAGGGAAATCCAAAACAGGAAAGAGCTGGAAAAAAGAAAAAGGCTTCCCTAATTGTATATGAGAACCCACACAACACATGACTTGGGCTTGCCCTTAAGCAGTGCATGCACAGGACAGACTAAGCCAACACATCAAAGGCCGGAAAAAGCGCCCTGATATTTAAACTACCACTGAAGTCTCAGACTAAACTCTGAGTAGTGCAAGCCCAAGACAGATCCAAAGTAGCATGGCAAAAAGCAGAAAAGAGATTAGAACCAACCCCCCTAACTAGGCTGACCACCTGCTTAAAAAAATACTCACTCACACATATTCTCCAGAGGATTATAACAGGATCCATAGACTTTACAATACAACATCCATAATGTACAAGATACAATCCAAAATTACTTGACATTCAAAAGCCAAGAAAAGTGACCAATTCTCAGGAGAACAGACAATCAACACATGACAAGCTAGAGATTACCCAAATGTTGTCATGGTCAAAGACTTCAAAGCAGTTGTTGTAACTTTACTCCATGAAGTAAAGATAAACACATTTGATATGAATGAAAAGAGAGAAGTTCTCAGTAGAGAAACAGAAACTATAAAATATAATATCTGAAATCTTAAAATTCACTCAATGGGGGAAAATAGCAGAATACAGATGAAAAATTCAGTCAATTTGAAGACAGGCTAAGAGAGATTACCCAGAAAAGAGAGGGAAAAAAGATTGGGAAAAAGTAAGACAATATCAAAAGATCTAATACTTGTGTAATTAGAGTCTCAGAAGGAGAGGAGAAAGAAATTGGTGCAGAAACAAAATTGAATAAATAATGGCCCAAACTTCTGAAATTTCGTGAAAGACACAAATTTACAGATTCAAAAAGCTCAGTGAAAGAACTCTTAGATATGACATCAAAAGTATGAGGCATAAAAGAAAACACTGGCAAACTAGACTAGACAAATTAAAATCTTCTGCTCTACTTAAGATATCATTGAGAAAGTGAAAAGACAAGTCACAGAATGGAAGAAAATATTTGCAAAACATAACTAAAAAAGGACTTGTATCCATAATATATAAAGAGCTCTCAAAACCCAATAATATGAAAACAGAGAACCCATTTTAAAATTGTACAAAAGATCTGAATAGAAACTTCACCAATGAATATACAGATGGCAAATAAGCATGTGAAAAGATGCTCATTATCACTGATCACTGGAGAAATGTAACTTTACACCAAAATGAGATATGTCTACATACCTATTCAAATGGCTAATATCCAAACAAAACAAAACAAAACAAAACAAAACAAAACCCTGAGACTACCAAGGGCTGACCAGGATGCAGAACAAAAGGAATTCTCATACATCGCTGATGGGAATGTAAAATGGTATAGCCAGTTGAAAATACAGCTTGGCCATTTCTTCACAGGTAAAACGTACACTTACCATATCAGTTAGCAATCCCACTCCTAGGTTTTTATCCAAGTGAACTGAAAACTTACGTTCTCGCAAAAACGTGCATGCATATGTTTACAGTGTCTTTATTCATAATTGTGAAAAACTGTAAACACAAATGTCCTTCAATAGGTAAATGGATAAACACACTGTGGTGTAACCATAAAGCAGAATGTTACTCACCAATAAAAAGGAACTAACTATCGTTATGTGCAACAATGTAGAAGAATCTCTAATGCACAATGCTAAGCATAAAAAGTCAGACTCAAAAGGCTACATACTGTGTGAGTCCATTTACAGGACATTCTTGAAAAGGCAAAATTATAGGGACAGAAAAAAACATCAGTGGTTGTCAGGACCCCGGGGAAAAATGGGTAAACGCAAAGCAGCAGGACAAAGGAATCTGGCGGATGACGGAACTATTCTGGATCTTGATAATAATTGTTGTGGTTGCACAATTCTTTGTGCTTGTCAAAACTCACGGAACTTTATACCAAAAAGAGTGCATGTAAATTATAACTAAAAGTAAAATTATCCCACAATGTTTTCTTAAATATGAGAAAATAAGCTACAATGTGAAACAAAATCTGTTAGAGCCATTAAACATTAAACACAGAGAAATGATCCAGTTTATCTACTATTGAAAAGTAAATAAAAACAATATAAATTGCTCGATCATTCTTTTGTGTTATCAATTGAGCCTTTCACAGAAACCATAAAAGGTAATGATTTTCATTTATATGCAAGTCAGCAACACTTTTACCAGCTAGCCAAGAAATCAAGAGCCCTGTAGATACTGAAATATTTTCTACTTGCACCTAAATACGGAATACAGAAAGTGAATGTGCTTAGAGAAGGGTAAGAAGTGAGAAAATCCAAGGGTCCAGTGTTAGAGGGAAACGCTCTGGCTCTAGTTCTTTAGAACCACGCAGACAGCTGCCAAGATTGAGTGGAACAGATAAAAACCAATCAGGAGGAAATGGAAAGATTGTTACCTCTAATGTCTAACATGTAACCACAATTCTAAAAATAATACATACAAAATGCAGTCATTCACCTTAATAGAATTATCTCGAAGGCCACTGATAATTTTTTCATCATCATACTGTAAACAGTAGACACCTTTACTATTTTCAGAGCGGCACTGAATCCTCTGCAAGTTGTGTCGTCCACACCGCCAGTTAGATTCTATAGTCTAAGGGAAAAAGGAGGCAACAGATGAGTTTTTGTGAATCAACTATTCTATTAGGGTTCAGACTTTGGGGTTCCAGAAACAGCATACCACTGATACTCCATCTTGGTTTGCATAACTGTCTGTGGATAGGAATCACACTCTTTTCCAAGTAAGACATTAGCCCAACAATATTTTTCCTCAAATGTTCCCTGCCCATCTGGCAACTGTCACAGGATTTCCAATGAGTTTGGGTTGGGTTTGAAAAAAATGGCCTAGACAGAATTCAATACGTTTAAAGAATGCCATTTGCACCCAAAACATACAAATAAATAGTAACTCATTGGGTCACTCTCTAATGCCAGTTAAAATATCTGGCAGAAGACCACCACTAACATTAAGCATATACTAACAATCTGTGTATCCATCCACAGCACTGATTGTCCTGATCATTGAGAAACGATATTGACAACTACTACATGCCAACTACTATAGCAAGAATTTTATTATCCATTTTTAATCTTCTACCAGACTGAAGCCCCTTTGGAATAAGAATGGCACATTTCAGCCCTGGATTCTCATTCTTTCATCATTTGTACAACACTTACTGAGATGTTAGTATATTCCAGGTACTGACTGTGCCAGGCATGGGGATGAAAAGACTGACAGGATGCAACTGCAATACACAGGCACGCAGTAACTGGAATTGGATATACTCTAATCATATGTTTATTTGGTTAAATGATCCACACATTAACCTTGGAAGGAAGTCCTCAGTTACTTTCCTTTTACAAACAAGGAAACAAGAGTTTAACTTGCCTGAGGCCACAAAACTAGTAACTGGATGAGTTGGAAATCACACCCAGTTCTTCCTGACTCTGAGCCCATGCTTTTTCTACTAAAATATGCAGTGTCTACAAAGAAAGTATAGCCCTAGCTATTGCGGCAGTGAACACATAAAAAGATCAGTAACAACTCCAGATAAAATATCAGTGCCAAATGAGTGATTAAAAACTGTAAGCGCTGCAGGACTAAAGGGATCTTAAACAGCGCGACAGCCTGAGACAAGTGGGCAAAGTTTAAAGAGGAAGTGGGTCATGCCCAGAGCACTAGAAGACCTAACCTTTGGTAATGGATGTCAAGGATTTTCAGGATCAAAAGATACACTAAGAATAACCAAAGTATAAATTCCTGATCCTTGAATTTAGGGGACAATAGGGACTACAATTGCCTATACCTGAGAGTTCAGGATCTAGTTCAAAAGACATGTCTGAGTAGCTAATTATCTGAGTAGCTAAAAGTTTAATTAGTTGCTTTAGTGAAGAAAGGAGATAAATCTCATCTTTATTCACAATAAGCACTTAATTACTGGTTCTGCTGACATCTAACAAACCATGTTTCCTCTTATTTTGAAGGCAACATGCTTCTCTGTATGCTCTGAAATGTTAAAATTTACGAATGTTATGCCAGGTACCATGCTTCCATAACACTATGCTATGTGTTTTATATAGTTTACAGTTAATCTAATCATCACAATTCTGAAGCCAAAATTATTGTCCTCATTTTACAGAAAAAGAAATGGAGGATTGGAGACACTGATACATGTATACTTAAACAGGAAACTGTTTCCTCATTTGTGGCCTCAGTACTTAGCACAGGAGCCTGGAAATATAAGCCCTGCCCTCAAAGAGTTCCCATACATAGCCTTGAGAGAGGCCAGGATCACATATTTCCAACATCCAGGGGATGCAAAGAGGTACCCTGGAGGTGCCATGAGCGAGAAACAGCTCATCTGTCCATCTGCTACCAAATCAGAGCTTCTTAGCCAGCATCGTCATCTCTACTGAGTTTGTAAAATGTCAGACATAAAACCACATTTCAAAAACAAAAAACCAAACAACAAAACAAAAACAAAAATTTACCCCACTGTGGCTACCGCTACCAAGGTAGACAACAGATATGTCTGTAAGCAACTTTTTAAAAAGGGATTCAGAATATAAAGAATTTCTTAAATTGAACTCAATGCTTGGAATCATTTAGAGAAATAATGTATTTTTAGAGTGACTGAGCCACGTCAGCATGCTAAGCATACCAGGAAAATGCTGACTTAGGAGGCAGACCTACTGGTAACAAGTCTTATTCATGGCCAGTGACTCCTGGCAATGGTCACCAACGTTCAGGATACACCCTGGGGGCCCAGATGGTTGCTGCTAAATGTGACTCCACATAAACCCAAAGTATTACAAAGACGAATACATAACCTGTCTTATCAATATATATGGTGTTATTTTCAAAATTCGTATCGTCGTTCTTAGTTTTAAAACATACACAATTGCTTTAAAATATTATTGAATCAGTAAGCAGCTTTGCTACTCTGTATAATATTTCAATGAATAGAAAAAGCACATTTATTTATTATCACATGGGAGCTTGAAAAAACTTTTTTTAACTTTCGTATGGGAATCCCCATACCAAAAAGAATTTCCTACATGCTCTCCCACTACTCTAAAATGTTTTTGAGAACCAAGAGACTTGGCTATAATCTATTACTGTACCTAAAGCCCTGAGGACACAGCAGAGAGAAACTGGGTAAGGCAACACGATCAGCCTGTGATACACCCACCCCCTAAGATGTCTGGACAGAGAACACTACCCAACATAAAAGGCCAAGCCATACCCTCTATCTCCAACCCTCAAACAAGAGCCAGAGGCCAGGACCTCTCAAAAGCTCTGTTAGATAACAGGCTTTCGTTCTAAGTCAAGTAGAAGTTAGGAAATGGCTTAGCTTCTCAACACTTAGAACGAGCCTATTTTCTAAAATACATTTCTCAATTTTAAAAGAAAAAGGCTTACCAAATCATTTTTCATGGGTCATTTTAGGAAGTCCCATCTAGGGCTGTTTTAAAAATTATTAGGTTCCTGAATCCCAAAACAAGTACAGTTTGTTTCAAAATGCCAGAAAAGGGACACTAAATGAGACCAGGGAGCTGACTGCTTTGTTACACACCAACCCGGTGTAATTCCTAAGACTTTACTCTTCTCAATTCTCAAGGCCACCCACAAAAGAAAGCAACACTTCCTGCTGACTGTGCCTGCCCAAAATACTACCTACCACCATATTTGACGACCTCAACTGGCTTATATAAGCCAGGACTTTTTCAGAAAAACTAGACCTTTAAAAATGGAAGGCAGCCCATTGTAGTAGAAAATACCTAGGTCAATTAGCAGCTTTAGCAAATGACTTGGACTGTTTGAATTGCAGTCTCCTCCTCTGTAAAAGATAATATATACGTTCTCAAATCTGTTGGAAGGATCAAATGAGATTACGTACATACAGTGCTTATCACAGTGCCTACAAACGGTAGCAGTGACGCTCTTTCTCATTTGTGGAGAACACTGACCAAAAGGAGTAGGCTGTGACCAAAAAAAATCTCACCAAATTGCCGGGAACTGTTGTCTCAGTCTAGGCTGATCTTCAATGCTGATAGCCCTGAGCCCTCCCCAACCATTCCCAGGAAGGGGCTCAGCCTGCAAATGCAATTCAACAATCATCTTAACTTCAGCAGTAGGAATACAGGGCATACACAGGTGCACCTCTTTAATGATGCAGATACCTGCCATTTCACTTAGACATCATGTGGTGTGGCTACTGCAGAGGAATATTTCATGTTTTTGAGAACTTGTAAAATCCCCTTACCCTGTGCAAATTTTCAAAATACTGGGAAAGTAGCCATGATACACAGAGTATACAGCAGCATTTAAATTGGCAATAGAGTGAAAACAGATGTCTGAGTATGAAGGAATAACATTATTTTTAGAAGCCTAAACACAACTGGGTGGGTGGGCAAATTTCAGCATTTTCTGGTTAGGACAATGTTAATATCAAGTTTGCAAACCACAAAAAAGCTCCCCACTTTCCCTGAATAAAATGTGGTTTATTATAAGGTGCGATACAACACACCATCGTTTTACTAGTGGTCTGTTCCAAGGAGAGTGCTTCAAAGGCTTTAATCCAGTGAATAAAAAAAGGAAAAAGGCATATCATATGAAGGAGTTTGCCACTAATCTGAGATGGCAAAAGAGAAAAATCCAAGTTCAGGACATCAGAACTCTGACTGCTTGAGTCTATTATAACAACTCCCACCTCTCTGTTGAGGGACATCTGACAGCATGGTAGGGCGAAAAGAGCATGGACTTTGGACTAAGAGTCTCAGTTTTGACAATTTGAGGACTAAATTAAATTACTGTGGCAAAGTACCTAACAGTAGTCTCATCATTAATAATAATGAGGATGAGGATGATAATAACAATTAAGACTCTAGATAGCAAAGGAAATATGGCTGCTTCTTTTAGGACTGTGCCTCAGGTTTTCCAGGAATTCCTTCTCAATTCAGAGGCACTCTAAACTCTCTCCCTCCCACCCTACCCCCTCTTCTTCTCTCTCCCCCTGTGTGTGTATGCGTGTGTGTATGGCAAGAGCACCCATGAGAGATGAACCTTTGCAGAGAACTAAGAATTCTTATTCTCTTCAGACTTCATTCCTCACATTCTCATTTCCTGAATAATAGGGGTTGGCCATACTAAGCCAGGTTCCCTACTTCTTAAAAATTAGCCAATTTCTGTTGGGTCAATGTGGAAGGGCAAGGTCATCTGCTTGTCAGAGCCAAATATGGGAATGGATAGATGACAGGAGCCAGCACATGCACTGGAGCTGTCAGGGTAGAGCAAGAAGGATAGAAAGCAAAAGGTGCTGTGAACTGGCAACCCTGCAAAGCACATGAGAAAAAACCACAAGAGACTCCAAGGCTGTGTATGGGCAACCAGGGAGGGGGACAAAAACATCCACTTGATGTTCAGGGTGTAATTTATCTTTTGGCAATAGGCTTAAAACCCTCTAAAGCACTACCTTTGCCATAACTGGACTAAAACAAGGCCAACTAATCTTATCTTAACTCATATGCTTTTTTCAACTAAGAGTTTGCAAGCAATTGGACAAAGATGAGAAGATCACCTTGAAAAGTCTGTAGGCATTTAACAACATACCTCTTTCTCCTTCTCTTCTGGAATTTTCTACTTTGAAAATGACAAACAACAACACTAAGCCTAGAGCTGGCCAGACCTCAGTTAAAATCCCTTGTCTTCTACTTAACTATGTAGGAAGTTCTAAAATTTCTCTTAGTCTCAGTTTCCCCTCCTTACAGATGAGGATGACAGGTAGCTTGCTGTAAGAATTAAATGCAATTAATAATCTATGTAAGTCGCACAACATGGTTCATGAGTATACTGCGAGGGCTCAAAAGAGGGTACTTGTAATTATTATAGTCTGCTTGTGAGGGTTTTGTACCAGGCACATGGGTAACAGCCAAGCCTGTGAGTCTCTCATTTGTTTGACCCACGAATCACTGACACAACTCTCTGCTTTGTGTGTCTACCCAGGACAGAATAAAACACACTCACAAAACAGAGGTAACGAACTCTATTTTGATGAAGTACCATTGATCTATAGCACACAAAAAGTTGCATTAAGGGCAGAAGAATGTAAGGATGATCACAGACTCAACGACTGACTGGTTGTATGATCACCGGCAAGCTATTTAACCTGCGTGAGCCTCAGGTTCCTCAATTTTAAATATGGACAGGACCTAACTTTCAAGTATTGTCCAGAGTGTTAAATAAGAAAATGCATTATAAAATGCTGAAAGTATCTAGGACAAGTAAACACTCTATACGTGGTACATTATTTTTATTATTATTACTATGAGTGAAAGTACCAAAGTATAAAACATCATCCCTTAAACTAAGAGATCTAGCCCACAAAAATCTGGAGGAGACTCTTGTGGCCAACCAGTGGGTTTTCCTAAACCACACTTTAAGAACCACTGGGTAGACCACCATGATATAGAGGTTTTGTGTCAAAAAGGGTTTTCCTCCATAGCTCTATTTTCCCTCACATCTGCCTCCTTCTAACTTTAAAATATTATTTCAGCCTGAGTAAATGGTTATGTTAGGTGGTGTCACATACTGTCATGCCACAGAAAACCGAGTTCATACTGTCGATTATAACACTACTAATGGGAATTAAATAATATATGTCACCAAATCTTCAACCTGATCAAAGTTCTTCCAGAGTTCCTATTTATTAATGATCGACCTCAGACATCATCCTTCTTATAATAAAGGACTTGCTGAAATTATTCAAGGAAATGTGGAGATACTTTATAAAGAATAGTTGGGAGGAAAAAAGTAACAAGTAATATAGTTTCTAAGATCTGTGCATAAGCAGTGTCTTAGTAAAACTACATGGGGTAAAAGACAATCCCTCTAACCTGAAACACACATACACCAACCTAAGGTTCAAGTTAACACTATGTTTCAGCTACTAAAACCGTAGGAGCAATTTATTCTAAGTTTTGAACTGCCAAGGGATCAATTAATTCCTAAACTTTAGGATTTGTATGGCAGAAGTTTTAAATCATTTAACCTACCCGAAAAGGTTACTTATAGCTCATTTTAGGGAACAGAATATTCAAGACAATGGCTTGCATTTGAAATAATGATATTCCAGTCATATTCAGATTTACTGTTAACAAAGCGATTCCATTAGTTCACATCTGCCTTAAAAAGAAGGCAGCGGGGAGGGGACTCCAAGAAAAGCACATGTTTCTCCGTTAATGAATTTTGGCACAATAACTTTTATGTCTATCACCTGGGGGTGAGGATTACTTCATGTTTGGGAAACTGAGTATAACTTTATGGGTGACACAGCATTGCCTAGCAAAGGCTGAACTTTTTTGCCAAGGAGGAAATCAGTGAAGTAACCAAGACCTGCCAAGAACACATATGAAAGAGTTAATCAGAAATGCCTGTGCATGTCTTTCTTGGTTCAAGGAAAAGGGCTAAATAATAAAACTGAACTAATTAGAACACATGAACAATATCAAACATCTCCAATGTTTCTCATCAAGTTCACAGAGTTTTACTGGTCTGGGGAAGTTACACTCAACTCCAAAATGGTCCACGAGCATAATTTGCTCTATAAAAGCCACTTAACTATTGCTTAGAATCATATTTGAGTCCTTTTAATGAAAAAGTATGGGAAATTGACAGAGGAAACTGAGACTGTGCCTTCTCTAGTTCTCTAGAGATGGCTCAAAAAATGTAAAACTATGCTTACCTGAAAAATTGGGCCTTGGATTTCGGAAATTTCATCAAATTAAAACAAAAAGTTAATTTTGGATTAAGGTTTTAATTAACTGGTAGTCTTGCAGAAGCATTTCATGTTTTAGAAAAGTTAGATTAGTTTTTACAAAAAGGCACTATCTACTCTGAAGGATAGCTGCAGATTACACATTGTGACATATGTGCTCTAAGACTTCAACTTAAAAAAAAAAACAGTTCTATGATTTTAGAACTAGACAACTAAGAACACTAAGACAACAAAAAAGTTGAGAACAAGACACAAACAGCCCATAAAACAGATAAATCATAAAATTACCTCTATATCCTGGATAATCTTTGGGTATAATGACCTATAAAATGAATTGGGAGGGCCATCTGTTGGTCTGTTTTTAAACAGGTACTGATCCCTGGCAAAAAAACACAAGCAGATGTTACATTTTTGCACATAAAAGGGTGAATTTTATTTAAACATGGTGCTTACAAAGATGTATCTTTCAAGTCTTTTGACTTGCATTGAGCTTTAACAGTTCCAAAGCAGGATTTCTGACAATTAAATGTACATGTTAGGCACAACTTTACTTCAGCTTACAGTTCTTTAGCATGGTCCTAACCTTTTATTTTCTGAATACCCAACACAATAATCTAGCCTTTCATTCTACAGTTCGATAAAAAGTGTTAATGTAGCTTTGTGAAAAAGCTAACTGAGTACATGAACAAACTTTTTCCCATAAAGAAAGCACAGCCCTAACCATCACTCACACAGCCACCTATCTGTCCTAGCTGTGGCACTCTCTTTCTCTGTGCTGTCAGGGTACTGACATGTACAGAGCTATAAAGCTGTATTTCAGACAACAGGTTGTCTCTGAAAAGTCCTGCCTGCTGTACCTTCCATCTTCAACCAGGATCAATATCTAATAGCAAAATGGCATTATTTGACTTTCTCATATTTTCCTTTTTCTTATCTATCTTTTGGTAATGGTGTCATCACCTAAGGAAAATGTGAAAGGAAAAGCATAAACACATAGCCTTGAAAAGCCAAATTGCTCAAACTGTACATCTCCCCCCCCAACTCTTGACTACTCATCTTTTCCCACTTGTTTAAAATAGGCCAACACATTTGGCAAGTATAATTGCATTTTTTAGTAATCAAACTGACCCTAGGTCAAATAAACTTTTTTCAAGGGAACAACCAACCTAAATACTTACCACCCTCTTCTTTCTGAAAGTCCCTTCCATAGAGGGTCAGTGCGCACCATTCGTTCAATCAACTTCTTCCAAAGCATTCCTTCGGAGATCACTCGCTGCCATTCCTTACATACCAGCTCTGCTGCACACAGAGACCTGGCATCCAGGTAGGAAAGAATGTTTTCTGCTATGTGATCTAAACCTTGCTCTACAAAATAGAAAAGGCAATGAAGGAATAGGAAGGGAGATGGAAACGTACCAGTTACCATTTCCTTAAAGATAAGAGGAATAAAGAAATCCTGAACCAGGAAACATACCTGAGTAATATCAAAAGTTCTTCAGATATACAAGTGCATGAGTACATAGACATAGACACTTCTTTTTGGTTCTGATTTTTTAAGATAAAACAATTGATGGCACCAGTTCCTGTCTGTAAAAGCCAACCCTGGACAGTTCTGTACTTGTCAGACATTATAATAAATGATTTCTTTTACATAACTCTATGGGGTAACGACACCCCAAATTTTACAGATGAGGCAGAAAGAGGTAAAAGGATTCAAGGTTTTACAATTATAGGGTAGTGAAGCCAAGACTGGACTCTGATCTCTTGCTCCAAAGTCTGCATTCTTTCCCCTCTGATTTACTGTTTCTCGTAACAAATCATCCTATTGATACATGACCTATGTGAATCCCTTGGGGCTAAGGAGACAAAAAGGTGAGAAACACTGACTTATCTGGAAAGTTTATGGAAAGTTAAACGACAATCCAAGAATTAAGTCAGGTGCACTAAGATGTATTTTTGTCAATCATTTCTCCATCTCCTTATGGAGGTAAAATCCTCAAAACCATGAACCACATGCCTAAAAATTCTAGAACCTTAAGTCGTTTATCCTACACAATGCAAGTATCCTCTCCAAGACAACCAAGATTCAGCCTTCGCCTGACATTCACGAAGGTAAGAAGATCACTATGGTCAATGCTGTTGCCACCTGTACACTCCCATCCTGTGGTTTTGGGCATGTCCTCTGCAACTACAAGAAATAAAGCTCATCCCCAGGCCTCCTCTGTGTTGGGGTGGGAAAACTAAACACACAGTCGGAAAATTCCAATTTCAAGTCTGGGTTCCCCACCTAGAACTTCTATGACATGAAACAAATACTTAAACAATACTGAAACATCCCTGCCCCTTGGTTTTTTACCAAATAACATGGTAATGGCCAGTAACAACTGTCCTTTCTCACACTACTTGTATGAATCAAAAAAGTTCTACAGGAAGATTTTAAAGACAACAAAGTACCATTTGGGGTTAATACTTGTTCTCTTTTTCAAGATAAATAGAAGGAGTATAGTCATACTAACTTGGCAGGGTATAGGTAAATCGTTAAACTTTCAGAACCTCAATTTCCTCATCTGTATAAAGCAGGGATAATAATCTCTGCCTTATTTTGAAAATATCACAATGAGATGCTGCATAAAAAATGCTTTACAAACTAAGGTTTTTTCCAACTCTAAGAATGACTATTTACACTGTTGATTATGGTTTACAGGCCCTTCATATACTAGTTCTACTCTATAGTAGGTCTAATACCCAAGTTATGATCTGATAATGAAGACTAACTACACTGGACCACTATCTTTTCTTGCACGTTATTATATTAAGAGTTAAGGCCATCAAAGATTATACTGCCTTCATCTAACAGTCATATCACAGTAGACTCCTAAGATGGTAGTAAGTTGAATTAAAATCTTAGGCCCTTCTCCCCAAAACATCTATTAAAACAATTCCCCTTAATTTCTGTATTTGTATGGGTAGTTTAGAAGGGGAGGGCAGCTCACACGGAAGTCTACAGTTATCCTCTCTATAATTCACCTTCAAATCTTTATCTGACCCTTCCATGTCAGTCTCTACAATTCTGATTCTGTCATACAGAAAAGTGGATATTCCACACCACATCTGCATGGTGGGCAAATGCAGTAACTCTTTACCCCAAGTTGCTGGCAAACATGTTAAATGGGTCAGAACCAAGGACAGCACCCGTGATTCTATATTTCCCTTCAAGCTATCATACACCCATTCATTAAATACTCACAAGGTACCAACACTGAGCCACCAGTTCTAAATCATCTGGATTTTATACTACTATTATCCAGCCCATATCTCTCTATTCAGTCCTCAAGGATATTTGGAGAAACTCGGCCCCATGAAGACACTGCCATCTTTATTTATATCATGTTTCTGACTTGCTAGTCTCATAACTTTATCCAGAAAGGAAATCAAGTGACTTTGGTACGGTTACTCTCCACGTTCCCTTGCTGGTGCTTACTACATAAAGTTGGTATTGCAATTTTCTGTTTACAAGTTGGCACTACCTGCTTTGTGTCACTTTTAAACATATATAACCCATGTTCATTATAGAAAAACTATAAAATGCATATAAGCAAATACCTTTAAATCCCTAAACCCCACCTCTCAGAGATAATAGCTTTTAACATTCTGTATACTATACCTTTCTAGGATTACACAACCCTACACAGTCTTTTCAACAGCTAATTAACTTTTGATAATCCATTTGAGAATTAGGCTAGAATGGAACATCAAATTCAATAGCCAATAGCTCTCATATACACCTTCTCCAGTTCTCCCGTTCTTAAGACCAGGAAATCTGCTCATCAATCATCTCTTGGTTCTATCATGCAGGACTACCAAACACAGTTGTACAAGCTGTATGTTCACAACTGTACAAGCTATATGTGCACAACTGTACCCAGTAGCTCTACCTACTGGTTTCCAATTACTTCTCAATGTTCCACAATTCTGAAAGTCACAGACTTAGGTTCTGTCACTATCCCGGCACACAACATCTTTAGGTCTACTTGTTATAGGAGCTGTGTTAAAGACAGCTTCATATCTTTCTTGGACTACAATTTTTCTGTCCTTTCTGGTTTTAAAACCATTCTTCTTAGTGGGGAAAGAAAAAAGGATAAGTTAAATGAGGAGTGAAAATATGCTGTTTCTTTCTATTACCACTACACCATCTATTCCAAGTACACTGTCCCTTCATTCTTCGTGTTCTTGCTCCAAACAGTTGATTATTTTATTTGTTTTTAACTCTCCCAAATTCCTTAACCATTTTGGACAATTTCACAATATTTGGGGCTTGGCCTTCTTGATACCATTCTCAAAGGTTCAGGCTACCTTTTTGTGTATCTCCATGCCCCTTTCCTTCCATCTTCTGTCCAAGTGTATTTAAAATCAGGGAAATTCATGGAAAATCACATGGGATTCTACTTGTGCCTATCCACTGACAGGATTAGCAAATTATTAATCAGAACTTTAAATTTCAGAATCTCTCTACCGTCTTTAATCATATTTTCTTTTACAGTCTCTGGCCATGGCCTAATAAACTTAGCTCTTCTCTGAATTCTTCTAATTCTGGGGTACTTTATCTGACTATCTTCTAGTTTCTACACTTAATATGAGAACACAGTCACTTTCCAAGGTTTATGTTAATTCTAATCACTAACCAAATCCTCCTAATTGGTTATAAACACACCCCTAACCAACTCCCCTCTCAAATCCTCTGCTGAGAGAGGAAATGAACAGACAAGAACACATTATATAGCTGTCTTTTCAGGCCTCAATGGCTGCCACATCCCCATGGTCTATATATGAACTGGGAAAGCTGCATCCAAACCCTCCACCTGGCTGGGTAGTCTATGTGCTGGTTCTCAGAAGCCTGTGTGGTTATATCACTTAGGGTTACTAATCTGAGAAGCAACAGCAGCAGAAACAGCTTCCTAAATATTCTCCTGATCCACTGAATCAGAACCTCTAGATGGTGGGGCCCAGAAATCTACATTCTTAAGAATTACTACCAGATAATTCTGACATGCTGGGAACTACTGCTTCATAGCAATAATATCCCTTTTAGTCCTCATTGATTTCCCGCCACCTCAATATCTCACACCACTGGGCTATCAATGAGATTCTGCAGAAAGAAGCTCATTATTAGACACATACTTCCTACTCTTTCAAATGCCACTGGTCCAATTCGGCAACATCTCATTGAAATCTATGAGATTTGCTTTATTTCCTTTTGGTAATACGTTAAATTCACTTCATCCTTCTAGGGGGCAGCATGTTTTAGTTTCTCGGAAAATGCACTGGCTATAGAGCCATATAATCTGGGTTGAAGCAAATCAGTTTTCCTTTTTGGATCTCAGTCTGCCATAAAATAGGAATGATATTAAATGCCTAAGAAGGATCATCTCATATAATCTGCATGATAAAACCCTCTGAGATAGGCTATAAATAGCCTCATTTTATAGAGAAGGAACTTCTTAACCTTGTTGGAAAGGTTCATAAGAGGAGGTTATTCAGGAGCCAGATACAGAGCAGGTACTCGATAAATGTCAGTCTCTCTTCTTCCCTCTTCCAGAAATCGCTTTACCTGATATCACTGGTCAAGGAAGCTAAGCAGTATTCCCCTTCCTTGTTACTTTCTGCAGAGAAAATATGACACACCTCCCCTAGCAAATCGCTAATTCCTCACTAATAGCTTGGAGTAAGTCTCATACCCCTTAAATATTTAAAGAAGAATAGGAATCACACAACCTCTATTTTGGGCACCTTGGAGTAACTAGCCCCAGGAGCCATGTAGACCTTGTAACTTTCTGGTTTCAAGACTGTTCAGAACAAAGAGGTTACTGAATAAGGTGGTCCATTTGTCTGAGCTAGAAAGTGCTCTGAGGTGTTAAAGCTAAGCATTTTCTTAAGTATCAATGTCTGGCTCTCATTTACTCTATGGTGCTGAGACGCCCCCATCTCCTGTCACCCCCCCCTTCCCAAGGCAATAAGAGGACACATTATGGCCTCAGAAAATGAGTCCAGAATACTGCACACATAGTGCTGAAGAAGTGCTGCTGTTGCTAATTATAGGCACCAGATGAAGGTCTGGAAATTTTTCAATAATAAATTAAAACAATTAAAAGGCAGAATTTTCAAAGCTCAATATGTAAATAACATTGTACCAAAATGAAACTCAAATGTGTAATGTCAGTTCAATGCCCTTGACTATAGCCAGTTTTAAGACAGCTGCTTAGATCATACAATTACAGAAACTTTTATTATTTTAGAAACACATTTCAAAGAGCAGCTGCAAAGAAATTTCCTTCCCCACCCACCCCTGCTGTCCCTTCCCCCTCCCTAGTCACAGATCTAGTTGTAAAATCTGAAGTTAGAAACTTTCTTTCCTGAGAGCAAAAGTCTGTCAGTGGATGCCTTTAACTTGGAATATACTGACCTAAGGATTCAGACACAAACGCTCAGGTCACAAAGTCCAACATTTTGTTATGCCAACAAAGTGGCACACACACCTACCTAAATGATGTCAGGATGAATCAATTCGGAAATCAGTGGGTGAATAATTAAAACTTCCTGGCAATAAATCGTACTGCAGGTGCTTCCTGCCTCTCTGGGCTTTTTTTTTTTTTTTTAACTGACATCCTCAGAATACCCACCAGATGCTAGGCATATTATATACAATGTCTTTAATCTTCACAATATCCTATAAAGTATTATTATCATTCCCACACAGATAAGGAAACTGAGGATCCAAAAAGTGAGCTCACGTAACCATTAGGGGCAGGGGCTGGGATTCAAATGGAGGGGCTGTCAAATCCAACACCCATCATCTTTCCACTCTGTCATGCTGGATCTCTGGCCCTGCTTCCAGCCTAAAGCCTACACTCTGGTTCTTCCACATCTCCCAAGACCTCTGATCTAATCTCTGTCACATTCACAGTCCATAATGGTTTATCATCCTTACTTGAGGATGAGACAAAAGAATAAACCATGGCCAGGAAGGTAAGTGTTTTTAAAATTCTTAATTGCTTAGACACCTCACCAAACAGATCACCAATGCTTATCGTTCTTCTTGAAGTACAATCTGTCTCTACTTCAAATGGTATAAATTTTCCCTTTAACAACAGTTCTTACAAACCACAAACTTAGCCTGCAGAAATTGACATTGCAGACTAAACATTTACCATGATTTTTAGAAAAGCATATCATAATTATCACTTTTTCCACTGAACCAAAAGGAGCCAGAGACCACAAACATTTTCCATTTTCCCTATACTGACAGGTACGATATTCACAGTAAGCATTAAAAAGTCAAAACTACAGACCGTTTTTATAGAATTAATGGTTTTCACAATCAAAAGAAGTCTTAAGTAGACTGTCAATTTCAACAAAGTAAAAATTCAAACTAAGGATCATCTACAGTAAAAGTTAAACACCAAACCAGGATAATGATTAGTAAGTTGTTGCACACATTATTAAATCTAAGTATGAACAAACACATGGACCTGTTTCTCCCCTAATGCTCTTAAGGCAAGATCTGTGCTAAGGAACTAATGCCAGATTTAATCCAAGTCTACTAGACACTAACTAACACAATCAACTTGGCCAGCTTGTCCCCAGCTATTAGATTCATATGTATGATATATACTGACATATGTATATATGTTCAGATCAAATCCTGTTAAAACAAATAGCATTTTAACAAAAATATTTCCATGTCCCAGCCAATGGTCCGTTCATTTCATGTAATACTCGATACCACAAAATTCCACTTTAACAGAGATATGGACAATGCCTTAAAATTCGCTGTAATGAAAACTGAATTGTATGCAATTATACTAACCATATTTATATACATAACACATGTTCATCTGTTCTGTCTCTTCTCCAATTCTGTACACTCCCCAAGAGAAGGGGCTGCCTCTGAACTATACTCTGCAAATCAAGAGAACTACAACAGTGCCACCTCGTGGATATTCTGTAAATACAAGTTGAATTCCCTGGTGCTCTAAAATGTTTGAGAGGCAAATTATAGGGAAAAAATAAAAATAAACCAAAACAACAGAAAGCAAACAGAATGGATTTGCCTCAAAAAATGGGAGCATAGCTTCATTTATTTAAAAGCACTTAAGAGGAACAAGTATAACTGTCAACTTTAAAAACTACCCTGTCTCTTCTTGGTGTGAAATGTAGCATGAGTCAGTAGAAAGTCTTGGATGAGGGGGGTTCTGAGTTCTGGGCTGCACATACAGAGGAGCTGCAGCACATGTGCACTCATCTTACTCAAATTCACCTATAATTCTCTCTCTCATGCAATTAGAAGCATAGCTCTTCTCTCCCACTCTCTCTCTTATAATTAAAAGTAAATGTTACTGAATTGGGGTGTAAACCATGTATACTTGAGGCCAGTTTAAGGCACTGTCCAGAGTAATCTTAACTGGAAGTGATTTCAGCTTTTGTACTAGCTTTTGCACCAACCCCCACCATCACCTGCAAAATCACAATAACCAAGATGTATGATCTTAGGCATTTCACCCAATTCTCTGATCCCTGGCTTCATAATCTACCCAATGAGGAACAGCACTAGCTGACGGCTAAGATCCCCTTCAGCAATTAAATACTATGATTCTAGAAAAAGAGGGTTCATGTTTTGCTTTTCTAGAAATACTAATTCAAGAAATGAGGAAAATAATGCTACATTTCAGCATAAAAAGAACAGTAGGGGCAAAATTTTCTAAGCTAACTCTCAAATATCCCTAAAACACTCCCTTTGTAGAAAGTAAACTTATAAGTTCTAGAAGAGGGATTAGGAATCAGAGGCTGGCATGTCACTTTGCAGCCCCAGGTTTCAGGCCTGAGGCATGAACCCAGGTCCTGTCTACTGTGGAAATACTTAAGACTATGGAGTTGTGATGCACTGTAAATCACAGACAGGCTAAGAGAGAAGCTGCTCTTTGAGGAGCCATCCAGAAGCTCTGAAAAAAGGGTAGGGCTGGTGGCAATGCTACTGGTTTATCCCTGGCTATTTCTAAGGCATACCCTGGCACAGCAGCTGTAACCTCCAGGTTACCCTGACCACGTTAGAGGAGAATGTTCTGGCCAACAGTCTCACATTCTCTTCAAGAGTGAAATCTCTCTATCTTACCTAGACAAACTTAAAATAAAAAATTTAAAAAAGAACACAGAGAGAAAAGAATTAACGAGTGACCAAAAATCAAAGAGGGGGACTTCCCTGGTGGCGCAGTGGTTAAGAATCCGCCTGCCAATGCAGGGTACACAGGTTCAATCCCTGGTCTGGGAAGATCCCACATGCCATGGAGAAACTAAGCCCGTGTGCCATAATTACTGAGCCTGCGCTCTAGAGCCCGCGAACCACAACTGCTGAGCTCATGTGTCACAACTACTGAAGCCCACGCACCTAGAGCCTGTGCTCCGCAACAAGAGAAGCCACCGCAATGAGAAGCCCGTGCACCGCAATGAAGAGTAGCTCCCGCTCACCGCAACTAGAGACAGCCCACGCACAGCAACAAAGACCCAACGCAGCCAAAAATAAATGAATAAATAAATTTTAAAAAAAAAATCAAAGGGGGATGAACAGGCAGAGCACAGCGGGTTTTTAGAGCAGTGAAACTGTTCTGTGTGACACTATAATGGTAGATACATGTCACTATACATTTGTCAAAAGCCACAGAATGTACAACACCAAGAGTGAACCTTGAAGTATGTACTTTGAATGATAGTGATGTGTCAGTGTAGGTTCATGTATTGTAACAAATGTACCACTGTAGTGTAGGATGTTGATAGCAGGGAGGCTGTGCTGGGAGCTGTTGCGGGTGGGGGGGAGGATATGGAATCTGTACTTTCTGCCCAATTTTGCTGTGAACCTAAAACTGTTGTAAAAGTAGTCTTTTTTTTCTTTTAAACCAAAGTAAACTTAACTAGGGGGTGAGGAGGGAGAGACAGAGAAAGAGAAAAGGGAGAGAAGAACACACTCATGCAGGGGTAGGATAGTGAGGGAGAGGATGCAGAAATAAGTTTTAAGAAATGTAGTAAGACATGCTATCAATTTCCCCAATACTTTTCTGCCATTCCCTAAGTGTCACTTCAGATATAAATGAACATCTTAAATTTGGGGACACTTCCCAAACACTGTAGGAAAAATTGTCCCATATTAAAAAAAATACTTATAAAGGCAAAATGCAGATTCTATAGACACCACATCTAAATAAAAAGTACAGCATTAATTCACTAATGTAGCAACAGTATTGACCAATGATCAACACTAGTAATCACAGAAACTGCCTACAGTTCCTAGATAGATGCTAAATTATAACTGCTCTTCAAGTACCACATATTAAAGTACAGTATGTGTCCCAAAGAAATGCTGTCTCACGCTGTACTCATTCATTCATTTCACAAACACCTACTCGGCTCCGTCTAGGCTCTTGGGCTGGGCATTCTTCCACTTCTCAGCTTTTTAAAAGACAAGCATGGTTACCTGGTAAAGCGGTAATAAAGTCCCGCTGCAACATGGGCTTCAGGTAAGAGTTAATATGTCCATGCTGGTAATGACACATTCGTGAAATAAGGTGTTCCACAAATTCCACTTGATCTGATTCAGACCACTGGTCAAAATATTTAATACACAAGTCTTTTTCTTTTTGATAGTTTCCTTCTGATGGCCTCTTTCTGGAGACGATCACTGATGATGTTCCATTACTTATCTATTTTAGAAAAACAAAAAAGTAATTAGTTTGACAAGGAAAATAAATCTTAAGAGCATATCATCAGAAACATTTTTTTGCCCTGTGTATTTATTCTTAAAATGCCAGTTTTACCCTAAAGCCAAACTCATTCCTTTATTAATTAATTCAGGAAATAATTAAAAAAGCATTCAGGGCCCATGTACTCGAATTAGTCACTAAAGTAATGATAAAGCTAGAGTTCTATCTAAAGCTAAATGGTGTCTTAAATCATCATTCTCCAATGCTTATTCCAAAATCGTGCTGTTATCAGTTAACTAACTAAGGTTGGAGAAGACCATCTTAGAAAAACTGTTCAACTTGGCAAAGTGGCAACTGATTGATTACTGATGGTTTGTTTTCCTTCCTCAAAGTTGGAAGGTAAAGCTATATTCATCTATGCAAATAGTTCTCACACTTGTGCATGCATCAGAATAACAAAAGAGCTTGTTAACACACAGACTGCTGGGCCCACCGCGGAGGTTCTGATCCTACAGGTCTGGAGTAGAGCCTGAGCACTTCCAACAAGTCCCCAAGTGATGCTGATGCTGCTGGTCTAGAGACTGCACTTCAGGGACCTCACTCTGAAAACTACTGGTCTATGTAACGGAGAAATCAGAGAGCAATTCAATCTAAAAAGCTTCATTTTACCTAACAGTTTCAATCTCCTCCGTATTATTTCCAGGGCTGCTAACTGCTGACAAAATAGTTTACAGACTTTCACTCTCTCTTTCAATCACCTACTCAGAAAGTGACCCAAGGTAAACCACATATACCTGAAAAGTTCCTCATCTTATTTAGTTGGTTTACGGATATCCCACAGACTCCTATACTAAATAGTTGCATCTCTCATCAAATCTACATGGTCCTTACATAAAATCAGTATACTTTTTAAAAACTGAAACTAGGGCTTCCCTGGTGGCACAGTGGTGGAGAATCCGCCTGCCAATGCAGGGGACACGGGTTCGAGCCCTGGTCCGGGAAGATCTCACATGCCGCGGAGCAATTAAGCCCGTGCGCCACAACTACTGAGCTCACACGCCTAGAGCCTGTGCTCCGCAACAGGAGAAGCCACCGCAATGAGAAGCCTGCACACCACAACAAAGAGTAGCCCCCGCTGACCACAACTAGAGAAAGCCCGCGCACAGCAACGAAGACCCAACACAGCCAAAAAAACAAAACAAACAAACAAAAACACTGAAACTACATGCACTGCATCTGGACAACAATATCCAAAAAAATCTAAATCCCTAGACTGAACCACAACTGCTACTGATATTATGAGGCTCAGTAATTTCCCTGTTTACAAACAAAAGAACCTCAATACTTTCGTCAAACATTTGCCAAGTCATCTGTCCATCACTATTCTGAATGCCCCTTCATGTGTAACACTAGAAAGAATAACATATAAGAGAATTTTGAAAACTGAAGAGTTGCATCACAAACATTCATTAATTCCATTAGGAGCTTATTTCAGAAGTCTTACATGGGAAGAATGAAGAGCTTTTTTTATCAGTATATCCCCTAACTTAAAGTGAACTGAACCCATCCCAGAAAGAAGACATCCTTTGTAAATATCCAAAGGAGTCTTTGGCCTTCCTTGGTAAAATCTTAAAAATCCTTCATATCTGAAGTGAGTTCTTATATCGACATTTAGAGGTATAAACCTGGAAGGCATTAATCTCCCACCTCACTTATCTTACCACTTCCTTGTCTGAGAACGTTTTTTCCCTTATAATTTGGGTGAGGGAGAGCTCATTGACACCGGGCACCACCAGGGGGCAGCATTGAACAGAGATTTTTGATGTTGCTTGTAGTAAAACATTCATATCAAACAGAACCAAAACATCAGCATTAAGAACAGTCAGACGAAGTAAACATTCTTTGCTGTGGTGAATATCAGCTAGCATAAGGAGCACCTTTGCTACTTCTAAGCATAAGGATGTTCACCATAATGTTATAATAAAATTCAGAAAAAACTACCCAGTTACAGGCAACTGGTTAAAGTGAATTATATAATACATCTACACAAAGTACTACAATGCAGCCATTAGAATTAGGTTTATAAAGTAAGATTTTAATAACAAGAGAACATGTTTATGAAATAGTATTAGGGACAAAAGAATTTTATATAGCATATGATCACAATAATTTGTGTGAAGGGAAACACGCCAAGAAAAAGTAAAGAATATAAATGAAAATGTTAAAAGTGCCTAATCTTGAGAGAGAAAGCTACATATTTTTTCCTTCCCCTTTTCTTTCTATATTTTTTTCATACTTGCCAAAATAATTGCTTTCCTAACAGGTTAAATATAATTATGGTAACAACTTGCATTTGTGTACTGCTTTATTGTTTATAAAATACTTTCACAACCATTATCTCACTTGATAAGCAAAAGGGTTATTATTTCATTTACAGAAGGGTTCCTTTCCTAACCATCTAGCCCCCTTAGAGCATCGGTATACCATTAACTAGTTGACTGAAAGGCAGATGAAAAAAAACCACAAAAAACTGAAAGCTAAAGTGTTAAGCACCACTGTGAATTGAAAAGCAATAGTAAATTAAGAGAATCCTGTTGCAAAATACCAGACGTGGAGGGAACAGCAGTCAGTCTGCACACAGTTCCCCCTAAAATAACAGTATGTGCCCAATTCTACAGCACATTTTCCATTTCTATTTCTAACCACCCGCTTGGCCTAGAAAGATCTTCCTGGAATTGCACTGCTTTGTTTCTTTTCATCATAAATTTGTTGGGGACACTTTATTCTTGCTAACTCCTTTGATTCAAATCAAGTGAACCCAGAGAACTTTTTTTTATCATTATTCTCTTCAGATTTAGATTTGTTTTGCCTTTATTTGTATCTTCATGAAGGGAAAAATTATGTGTACCATAATGGTCGATGAAAACACGAAATCATGAAACTTTATATGCTCTCCATCCCGCGCCTTACAAAAAAACTGGGGGATTGGAAGGAAAACTGGAAAACTAAAATAGAGGTAGGAGAGAAGGAAACTGAATTTAAAAGGAAAAGGCAAACAAATAGGAAATGGGGGAGAAGGGTGACGGTTGGGAGAAAAGGTCGGTGCATACACTGGTATGCGGCATGGTGCCATTCTGGTGACAAAGGACACCACCACTGTCCATCTTTGGCTTAGACAGTGGCCCCAGAGACGGAATATTTTGGGCTGCAGCCAACTTCAGAATCTTGGTGAGAATTCCTAAATTCTTTACTATTCATAATGACACTTCCCTAAGGAACAGAAGATAAATTAGGGTGAATTCTTTTTTTTTTTTCCTTATGTGGACCATTTTAAAAGTCTTCATTGAATTAGTTACAATATTGCTTCTGTTTTATGTCTTGGTTTTTTGGCCCTGAGGCATGTGGGCTCTTAGTTCCCCAACCAGGGATCGAACCCCCACCCCCTGCATTGGAAGGTGAAGTCTTAACCACTGGACCGCCAGGGAAGTCCCAGGGTGGATCCTGAAACTAGCAGAATTGCACAAAAGAAAACAAAAGTACTTGGCTCTTAGTTTCACTGAGGACAGGAGCTGAGGGAGCATCTTATCTACAGTAAGTCAACTGCTATCTTATCTGTGCGCCGTCATTCCTACCTGCCAAAGAGTATTTTTCTTTGGGGACTCATCTTCATTTTGATCCTCCATAACTGAAGTGTTCTAAGGGGGGAAAAACAGGTTATTTGAATTATGCCGAGTTTTGCAAATTCTAAATAACTACACCAAAATATAGTTTTGAAAACCCAAACTGGAGTGTACCAACACCAACCCAAGAGCTGTTTGGCTTGTGGCTAACACATGCCATTTTGGGTCAACAGGGGTGTTTTCATCTTTGATCAATCATTTAGTTAGTGGTTGGACAAAAGTAAGCATAAAGTCTTTATGAAGGTTGGGTGTACTTAGAAAACAGGCTAAATTATGGGAGTGGGGCTGAAGCTCTACCTCAATCATCCCCGTTATTCTTTTAACCTGAAGAAAGAAGGCCCAGAGACCCACTAAGTTCCTGATGATTACACAAAACATTTACTAGAATGTCTGCTACTCAGTAGCCCACCCCAGCCATCAGCAATTAGAAGTGACAAAGCCCTGGAAGCCCCCCTGCCTTTCTCTTTCCTCCCTTGATGGCCTTGTTTTTCTGGAATGGCTTTGCAATCTCCCCTAGCAAGCATGGTGGGTGCCCCAGCCTTTTCCCTTAAGAGGAGGATGCTGTTAGCCAGCAACAATCTGGCTTGCCTTGGGAATGCATTAGCTTTTGATTTTTGTGTTTACTGCACAAAGAGGCACTGTGTATTCTTTCTGGTGACCTAGTCGCTCAATAGATGCCCATTAACTGGAGATTATACATGATTGGATTTTCCCTTTTGAAGCTCCTACCTAATAGCTAAATGGAAACTTAATGAGAAGGGGAAGTGGGAGAGTTGTGTTCTGAAAGGAATAACAACTCATTTATGGATAGCAGTCTCTCTAAGATTCCTTCCCAAGCCTAAAATTCCAAGATTGGGGTACAAAATTTAAACTATAACATTTGTCCTGTAGTATTAGTCGAAAAGATCCTATAGATCTATTTATCAGTGTTTACAAGAGCTTGTTTACTGCCTATAGGGAATAAGCCTACCTCTCAAATTTTCCCTGTTTTTCCTTTATGTTCGTCAAGTTGTAAAATGTTTGGGCACATACAGTATTTCCAAACACTCCATTTGAAAATACCCAATGTAGGTGGTGGCAGAAGAATCACCACTGGACACTAGTGCTCTGCAGGTCTCACAGCAGGCTCTGATAAGAGATGTAGAATGAGGGCTTCCCTAGTGGCACAGTGGTTAAGAATCTGCCTGCCAATGCAGGGGACACGGGTTCGAGCCCTGGTCCAGGAAGGTCCCACATGCCGCGGAGCAACTAAGCCCGTGCGCCGCAACTACTGAGCCTGCGCTCTAGAGCCTGCGAGCCACAACTACTGAAGCCCACGCACCTAGAGCCTGTGCTCCACAACTAGAGAAGCCACCGCAATGAGAAGCCTGCACACCGCAACAAAGAGTAGCCCCTGCTCTCAGCAACTAGAGAAAAAACCCGCGTACAGCAGCAAAGACCCAAGGCAGCCAAAAATTAAATAAATGAATAAAATAAAATTAAAAAAAAAGAGAGATGTAGAATGATGTAGTAGAAAAGCCAAAGGCTTTGAAACCAAAGAGAGAAGTTGGAATCCAGATTTGGTCGGTCACTCTGTGTGTGTGTGTGTGTGTGTGTGTGTGTGTGTGTGCACATGCGTGTGAGAGAGAGAGAGAGAGAGGGAGACAGAGAGAGAGGGAGAGGGAGAGAGAGGGAGAGGGAGAGAGAGACAGAGAGATCCTGAGCAAGTTGTTCTACCCATGGACAAATACAAACCACACAAAGTTGTGGGGATTGAGACCACCAGCACAGTGCTTGGTGTATAGTGGGTATTCATAAACTCTGTTTATGCCCTGCTTTGAAGATGCTACTTTCCCCCAAGTGTTATCTATTCTCATGCTTTTCTAACTTCAGACTTTGACAGAAAGGCTCCAGATGGTTGCCTAATAGGGAAAACCCACTGGCTTCCTTGATAAAACCTTATAAGCCGCATAACACCGAGGTCTGCGATGGGGAAGGGGGGCAGGAGGGCAGGGCTCCATATGTTAAAGTCAACCATGAGCCAGAGAGGAAGGAAGTGTGTCCAAGTGTCCAAAGCAGGTCTAAAGTGGTGGCAGCAATAAATGATCCTGAATGGGAAAGGGGGGATGAAGAATAGGGAAACACAAGTAGTACTCCTCCCTCAAATTTTCCTTTTACTGCTATCTTGAAGGACTTAGGGATTAATAAAGCTGACAGGTTTCCTTAGGGGAATGAACAAAGTGGGAACAGTGACTCAGTATATCACCTGGATCTGACTGGTAGTTACAAAGGCATCCTTGCAATATCACAATGTCCTGGGTTCTGAGAGAGTGGCAAGAAGAAAGAATGGCTGGGAACGTGGAGGTGAGCGTGCCAAATGGAAGAGAGATGGGACGTAAGTTCCCGCTCCCTCGTCTCCAGGCAGCCCAGGAAATGTGTGAAGGAGGTATATGTGCAAAGGGGTTTGAACTCCAAAGTTTTAAAACACAGGAGTCTGAATCCACCAGAGCTATTCTGACGTAACCTACCTCAATACTTTCCTCACTCAGGCAGGAAACATAAAAACGTCAGAAGTTCCTGCGGACTACACAAGAAACAACCGTCTTTCCAGTAAGAAAATTTAATTCTTCCTTTCATTCCAAAACAGAGAAATGGTGTTTATTTACATAGCTGAAAAGAAAACAACCCCTCTGATAAAAATAGCAACTATTCTCTTAAGGCTTGATGAAAGTGGATAAAGACATACAATTTAGTAAAACTGTATTTAATAGAGCCCTGTGGGGGCTGGAATACATTTTTTTTTTTCAATTTCTCTTATAAAGCCTTCAGGAAAAGATGCCAAAGGGAAAAAGCTGCCCTCCAGCTACACTGATCAGAGGATCATTTCCAAAGAGTAATCCAGGTGACACAAGAGATGCTCAGAGGAAAAAGGGTCCTGGGGTCTAATTAAGTTTGACAAATGCTGCATGCTCACGTGTGTGCTCTCCCCCGCCGCCCTTCTTCCTTTCCTACACAAACACACCCCACAATGCACTTCGTAAAGATACTAAAGGCTCTGACATCTTATAATTTTAAAAATCAGGTTAGATTAGTTTAACAGCTATCCCTAATTTGTTGGGTATGGCCACCCCCCTTCTACACTCTCTCAATAAGAGCTCAGCACACTGGCAAACAGTGGACTAGGGCAGTAGCATGGCACGATTCCTTCCTCCTCCCACTTCACTACATGAATACTGCTGAGAGACAAAGGAAATGCCCACTTTTGGTAAACACAATATATACCTTTCCTATTCCTCATTATCTTATGTGGGGATAAGAATGGGTGGCAAGCATCAAAAATTCTAAGAGCCACAGGTTTTTATTTTTAGTCACTTTGACTGGGCTTCCCTGGTGGTGCAGTGCTTGAGAACCCACCTGCCAATGCAGGGGACACGGGTTTGAGCCCTGGTCTGGGAAGATCCCACATGTCGTGGTACAACTAAGCCCGTGCACCACAACTAGTGAGCCTGCGCTCTAGAGCCCGTGAGCCACAACTACTGAAGCCCACAGTCCACAACTACTAAGGCCCGTGCACCTAGAGCCCCGTGCTCCACAACAAAAGAAGCCACTGCAATGAGAAGCCCATGCATCACAATGAAGAGTAGCCTCCGCTCGCCCCAACTAGAGAAAAGCCTGCACACAGCAACGAAGACCCAGCGCAGCCAAAAATAAATAAATAAATAATCATTTTGACTTTTATTCCTTAAAGGTTTAATAGACAAAAGGTCACAAGTTCAAGGGAGAGGTAAGAAAAAACAATGAGTCTTCCTTCCAGGAGAAAAGGAAGGTGGTTTCCTACATCCAAGCTCTCAGATGAAACCATGAGGTAAGCCAATCTGAGAGGTGAGATCCTCTTTTAAGTCTCCAACACTTCTGGGAAAGGAAAGTTCTTTGAAATACCAACCTGGCTTAATCACTTCCTACCCTTCTCATCATCATCTCTTTCATCCTACACCTACATCACATGCAAACAAACAAAAAACGCAGACCTTCCTACTACCAATGGAAGATACAGTCTAGGAAGCAGCAGCTAGACTCTAGGGCAGATCAACCTTAGTACTAGTGACATTTGGGGCCAGATTAATTCCGTGGTGCGGGGGCGGGGGGAGCGTGGCTGTCCTGTACAACGTAGGATGTCAGGCAGCATCCCTGGCTTTTCCCTGCTAGTTGCCAGTAGCAACCCCCTCCCCTGCCCTAACTGTGATAACCAAAAATGTCTCCAGATTGCCAAATGTCAGGGGTGGGGATTGGGGGCTCGGGGCAACAAAACTGCCCCCTCCACTTGAGAGCCACTGCTCTAGGGGTGTGAGCTCCTAAACTCGCTTCCTTAGGAAAATATACTAAAAATCACCACCATCTCAGACCTGGCCTTTCTTTCTCTTCAGGCTTCTTTTCCTTTAACCCCTGTGACAGTATGTGATTTCTTCAAATATAGCCTGACCGTACCATGGTCAAGTAATTCATAGAGTATATAGTTATCTCAATTCTGGGGTAAATCCTGCTTGCCATTCAATGCCTATCCAGGAAAACTTGATATAAGGAGTTCTTTACTAGAGATCCATGGGCTTGGGGGTGTGAATGAGGGTGATAAATATCGTGAAGTCATATACAAAAGTTCATGTGTATATAGTCCTCCAGAAAGAAGATCCAGAGCTTTCATTAGATCTCAAAGGTGTCCCAAATGTAATAAAATAGCAAAGCATGTCTGACCAAATAGGTGGCCAGGGTGGATGGAGCCTAGGTATACGTGTTTTGCTTTGCTTTAATTTAAAGTTCTCCAGGTAATTTTTATGTATGTGTCTGCTTTAAAATCACTGCTATGGCAAAATGATGTGGTCCATGTAGTACCACCATCCTAAGGAAATTGCACTGATACCGTCATGACAGACTCCATCCCAATATGTGATATCTCAGAACTACCAAATACCATGAGAATCTAATGCCTGTTCCTTCTCTTATAAAGCCTTCAGGAGAAGATGCCGAAGGGAAAATGATGC